GTTTGAATAAAACAGTATAGTAATGAAGCTATCGTAATTAAATTTCATATTCTATGTATTATGTCTTTTGCCATGAAATTTGTTTCTTCTTTGTTTTTGATTTTTTTTTTTTGAGATGTGAGTTTCTTGGTGTAGCTCTAGCTACACCTGGAACTGCTCTGTAGACCAGCCAGCTTTGAACTCAGAGAGATCCATAAGAGCTAGATTAAAGGTGTGAGCCGCCACTGCCCAATTTGAAATTTGGGTTTTTTGAAAGACTAATCCTAAGCATAGAATATAGAATTATGACTTGCAAATTAAATGGTTTTCATGAATATAAAATAAAAAATTGATCAGAGCAGATGTGGGTTTGTAACTATGTTCTAAAGCTATTGAGATTATTTGTTTTAATTTCCACCCCAAGTAAACTCCAGCTCCTCACAAATGGAAACTTGGGTTAAATTCCACCGGTTATCTTCCACTGAAATTCTAAAAAGTTTAGGATAGTTGAACAGGGCAAATCTTAAAAATACTATAGTAGAAGCTGGGTGGTTGTGGCACACGCCTTTCATCCAGCAGAGGGAGGGAGATCTCTGAGTTCAAGGACAGCCTGGTCTACAGCCTGAGTTTCTGGACAGCCAGGGATACACAGAGAAACCCTGTCTTGAAGTACAGCCATATACATATGGTGGAATGCCAGTGTTTTCTGTACTGTTCTTACCAATCTGACATCATTAAGTTAAAATACAAATGTGATGATCGTGTTAGAGAATTGCTTGCAGCTTTTCTTTTTAGGCTTAGTCTGATTCTAGCTTAAATTATTAAAACAGTTTAATTATTTTCAAGAATTTTACTGGTTTTCTCCATTTCTTTTAATTCCATCATTTAGTATAATTTCCTTCTTACTATCTAGAAGAGACTAATGTTCTTAATAGCTATATGCTTTCTTTATATTTTTCAAAATGTTTATCTTCTGTGTATATGTGTATGGGCATGTTTGTCATTGCGTGCCTGTGGCAGCTTGCTAGGTTACTTTGACACACTGAGCCCTTTCACTGCCTCCATCCCTGTGCTTTTAATGAGTGGTATGAAGCTGGACCTCTGCAACTCCATTTTAAAACTAAAAGTGTTTTCTTAGTAGTTTTATTAAGGTTTGTTCATATAGTGATGAAGTTTTATTCTTAGGCTTTTAAGTAATTTTGTGACTGACCATAATAATCTGAATAATTCGTCCAGAGTCACTGAAACTGTTAATCTGGTGGGTAATTCAGATGTTTTATGTTCATTTTATTCTATTTTGCTGGAATCTTTCTTTGGTGTTAACTCTTTCCAAACCTTGGGTTCTTTCTATTGGGTTCTGTTGGCCTGGGCTGTCTTTTCTAAACAGTCATAAAGTACGCTTGCACTCAGTTCTGATCCTTACAAGAGTTAAGGCACCACATGGGTGGTAGGAATCGAGTTTGTTACCTCTGCAAGAATGTTCAGTGCTCTTAACCATCAAGTCATCTAGTACAAAGGAAGTTTTGAAAATAAGTTTTCATAAAATTTCTCATGTACCATTAAAAATGTTCTTCCATTTCTAGTATAACTAACTTCAAGTCTTGAAAATGGAAGTAGAATTATGAGAAAATTGATTTATAGTTATTGAGTAACAAGATATCAGGGCACCTAGCAACAAAGCAGGCATTTATGATCTCAAAGTTTTTATAGTCAGGAATTTAGGACTAGGCTAGTTGGATATTTCCGTCTCTCATGGGATTGTGGTCAGACTGTTGGAAGTAAAACTTAGGTTTCCTTGGAACTTCAGAATCTGCTCTGAGGCTTATTTACATGTACTGTTTGCATTTTGTTTTGTGCCCTAATTTCATTTATTGCCCTAGGATAGTCTCCATGATACTGCTTGAATGCTCTAGGATATTGAGTATGATTAAAAAGGTGACAGAAAAAAAAAAGCAAGGGAGATGCCATAATGCCATTTTTACCCCAGCCCATAAGTAAGACATGCCATAAAATCTGCCATGCATAAGCATACTGACCTATTACTCAAGTGAGGAGAGAATTAGGTGGCAACTCTTGGAAGGGAGGATTGAAGACCTTTTGGATATTATTTTAAAATTACCAGTGATGTAGACTGAAAATTCCTTGCACTATAGATAGTAAGTGTTGTATTTTTTTTGAATGTGTATGTATGTGTTTATGTGAGTGTGTGTACATTGCGTGTGGAGGCTGTAGGTCTATGTTGATTGCCTCCAGCTTTTTTATTTTTTTTAAAAACAGGATCTCTTCCCAAACCTGGAGCTCATTGATTTGGTTAGGTTGACTAGCTGGCCATAGCTACAGATCTGCCTGTGTCTGTCCCCACAGTGCTGCAGTTCTAAGTATGCCATGACAGTATTTTTTGGTTTTTATTTTTGTATTTATTGTTATGTGGATGCTAAATATCTGAACTCAGGTCTTCATTGCTTGCTCAACACACTTTTTATGGACTGAGCCATCTCCCCAGCTTTTGTATTTTTGTTTTGTTTTGAGACAGGGGTCTCTCTGTAATCTTTTCTGTCCTGGAACTTGCTGTTGGTAGCCTAACCTTGAATTCAGAGATCCAACTGCTTCTGCCTCCTGAGTGCTAGGACTAAAGGCTTGTATCTAGCTTTGTTTGGTTTGTTGCTTTGATCCTTTAATATCATATATATTTAAAAGTTACTGTTAAATTTTGTATCATCAGTAACTTTAAAGAGAATCTTTCTTACTTACATTGTTGGTGTGAATTAAGTAGTTGTTTTTTGTGCTAAGCCTTTACATTAAATTCAAGCTAGGTATCTGTTTCTGAGTTAGGATTTCATTGAGTGGATAGTAAGGATCCTGGAGGCTTTTAAGGCATGGGTGTGGGAGTTTGAGGAATTCAGAGGATTGTGAAATAGTGGTCTTTGAGAAATAAGGAAGAAATAAGGAAATAATAAGGATAGAGTGCAGGATGTGAGCTAAGGGAACTGACTTGGGCTGCAACTGAGGCTGCTGAGAGGTAAAGCCCAGGAGGATTTTTACAGAAAATAATATGGGAGGTGCATAGGAGTTGGTGGTTGTAACACTCATCATGTAGAGAGATGATGAATTGTTTATCTAGTTTCTGGGCATTTCATTGTAAAGAGGGAGTCCTCCACAGTGGTTAAAAAGTGTGAGCATTAGAGTTGAATAGTTTGGTTTTAAATATTGGCTCACTCATTACTTATTTAATAGTCTTAGGGGACCTGCCTAACGTTTTCCTACTCACCTCAGTTTTTTCTCAGTAAAGTGAGAGCTTTCCATATAATAGCAGAGCTAGCCTAGTTTATGGAACAGAACGAGTTCAGTAAAGCTAGCTATTGCTGTTATTTTGTTGTTTGTTAAGTGATCCTTAGTTAAATAACACATTTTATTTAGTTTTTGAGTTGGACAAACATGATTTCAGCATTAGAGCATTCCTTTCTGACCCAGTCTCTCCTTTATTGAAGCAACCAACACTTCGTCATACAAGTAACCATAATTATTAGTTTATACTTATGCATAGGTATTATTTATTTGTAACAGTCCACGTATATAATCTCTTCCTTACAAATAGTAGCATATTGTTTACACTTTTCTATATGTTGCTTTTCATATTAAAGAAGTTCCTTTTCCTAAGTATATTATTTTTGAGTATTTTGTTGCCTGTCGTTCCCCAATGTGAATTTAATATAATTAATTTTTCTAGTTCTCTTTAAATGGCCATCCCTCCCCAACTCCCTGCCTGTGGTACTGAGTTAATCTTAATTATAGAAACTTAGTGCTTGAGGAATCTGTCTTTTTTTTTAACTCAACGGTTCTCAACTTGTGGGTTGTGACCCCTTTGGGGGTTGAAGGACCCTTTTCATGGGGTCGCCCAAGACCATTGGAAAACATAGGTATTTACATTATGATTCATAGCAATAGCAAAATTACAGTTATGAAGTGGCAGCAAAAATTATATGGTTGGGGAGCAGCATGAACTGTATTGGAACATTAGGAAGATTGAAAACCTCTGTTTTAGAGCTTTTAGTCCTATTTTTTGAGTCTTTATTCTGAAGACTGTTTTTTATACAACGGTATTTTGCTGACAAGAATTTTGTATTACAATATGACTCAGGTTTTTCTCTAATGCTAGTAATTTTCTATAGTGGGTTCATGTTTCTACTTTCAATTTAATGAGATTTTTTAAAATCTAACCTACCTTTATTTTAGATTTACTTATTTATTATGTGTATAGAGTTCTACCTGCATTTGTGCCTGCAGGCCAGAAGAGGGCATGTGCTTGCTGGGAACTAAACTCAGGATCTCTGGAAGAAGAGCCAGTGCTCTTAACCTCAGAGCCATCTCTATCCCCCCCCCCCCCAACTTGGTTTTTAAAGATAGTTAACCAAATTTCATACTGCTTGAATTCTATTTTTATAAAATATAAATTCCTAATGCATTTGATTTGCTTTCTAGCTTTTCTGCCCTTTTATGTATCGAGGGGGGGGGGTGATATACTTACTTACCTATTTATCTACTCATTCATTCACTCATCCACCTATTTATTTATTTATTTGTGTGGGTTTATTTTCTTTTTTATGTGTAGAGTGTTTTGTCTGTTTTTGTGTATATATGTGTGTACCACATGCATACCTGCTACCCTTGGAGATCAGAAGAGGGTATTTGATCCTCATGAGCTGGAGTTACAGATGGTTATGAGCCTCCATTTGAATTCTGGAAACTGAACTAGGAACTGCAAAAGCAAGTGCTCCTAATTACTCATCCATCTCTCCAATCCCAGTAACATTCTTTTAAGAAATTATGTTTTTAAGAAGTGATGCAGCATGTAAAATATATTAACATAAGGAAAACATATTCATTCAGGGCCTTTCATGAGCCTAGTGTTTTTTACATATATTAACTCAATTATATGTCATATTTTGCAAGTTTTAACTCAGTTATAGACTGTGAAATCATTTATGGTTAAGTTTCATTCAAATTTTTCTTTTCCCTTTTAGCTGTGATGCCGATCCATCAGCCCTAGCAAAATATGTCTTGGCTCTGGTAAAGAAAGACAAAAGTGAGAAGGAATTAAAGGCGTTATGTATTGATCAGCTTGATGTCTTTCTTCAGAAAGGTAACACCCTTAGTTTTAAAAACACTTTTTGAGTAAGTTATATAAAATAAGATTATGGACTGAATATTAAAGGAATTTAGCCCCTTGTAACAAAGCTTTTAGCTGTAACAATATTGAATACACATATTACTGATTATATATATGACTGGTTTCCTCAGTATCTTTTATAGTTGTTTTGTAACATAGACTAACATATTCAGGAAATGGCTGCCTATTTTAGACAATACTAAGAAAATATCTTGGACTTTTGTATAGGGCATCTTTTCAACTTTGTTATACATTTCCCACATCTAGATAATGACTAGTTCTTGTATTTATATATTAGTTGTGCTACATGTCAAAGAATAGTCATGGATGGAAGCAGCTGGCCAAGAAACTTGTCATTCTAGTCTTGAAACATGAATGAATTGTTGTCATGGAACTTGTTCCATTATACACTGCTTGGCAAGCTATTGATCAGGGTGTTGAGGAACTTGCTGTGTAGAACCCATTAAAGTCTTACTGGATATATTTTATTCTGTGAACTTTTTGGTTTTATTTTTAGAGACACAGATATTTGTGGAGAAGCTTTTTGATGCTGTGAATACAAAGAGTTACCTACCTCCTCCAGAGCAACCATCATCAGGAAGCCTGAAGGTAGATTTTCTTCAGCACCAAGAAAAAGATATAAAAAAAGAAGAGGTGAGAATTCGTTATATTGTGTTGGCTCCTTGAGTTCTTTGAAGGCATTATTAGTCAAGTTTTCTGCATTTTCTATTGTGTGTCCTAAATACTTGTTCCTATGTTTAGGGACTTCTATAGGAGTAATTAATGAACTAGGAATTTAGTTGTAATCATGGCAATGATTTAGTTAATACAAAAGAGTTAAAAGTTACCAAAGAAAAATGGTTTGCGAGGAAATCTGGTGGAAAATTAGTGCAAGTATCAAGATTCACTGGGGTCACATGGGATATGCTTAATTTTCCTCGAGACTAGTTATAGCAGCAAGACGTATTTTGAATTAAAAAAATTATCTTATCCTGTTTATGGATGTTTTGCCTAGGTGTTTATGTATCATGTGTGTGCCTATAGCCGGGTGATGGTGGCGCACGCCTTTAATCCCAGCACTGGGGAGGCAGAGGCAGGCGGATCTCTGGGAGTTCGAGACCAGCCTGGTCTACAAGAGCTAGTTCCAGGACAGGCTCCAAAGCCACAGAGAAACCCTGTCTCGAAAAAACAAAAACAAAAAAAAGACATGTGTACATACATAAAAGACAAAAGAGGGTCTCAGATCACCTGGAACTGGAGTTAGTTATAGATGGTTGTGAGCGACCATGTAGATGCTGGGAATTGAACCTGAGTCCTCTGGAAGAGCAGCAGTGCTTAATTTTATTTGGAGTAGGCACTTACTATATAACATGTAACAGAATTCCACACTCCCAAGAGAAAAGCAAGTATTGGCATAAACCATTGTGTTTTGCAAAGACAGTACAGTGAGCCATCCTTATCAAGAAACGGTGGGGACGGTATAGATACCAAAATTTCAGAAGGTAGCTGAAGATCAACCAGTCTTATATGTATGTAGGCCTTTTTAAAGCTTAGCATTCTAAGTCTGCTTTGAACTCTATTGGTCATGGAATCCTATAGTTCTGTGAAACTCATCAGGATAATAGGAAATGTACTGTCTGCCCTTCATATGTTTAGTCAGAATATTTTCAACATAGTCAAACAGAACTTTCACAAAGCAATAGAAATTACTTTATATTTAAAATTTTTTGGAAGTTTTAAATTACATTTTATAATTTGTGTTTCCATTTGCTTAATAACCTTAATAATTAAGATTTTCTCAATTTGGTAAAAATCAAGATGACCGAGGACAATTGTGCCAGAGAAAACAGTATCTGGCATTCATACTCTACTTTTTTGTATTCAGCTAGTTTTACTTTAAAAAGTGTTGGAACAGGGACTATGTATTCCTAGCTTGGCTGAAACTCGAAGTATACATTAAGATATTTTCCAGTTCTTTGATAATTCTCTTAGCTCTGCCTCCTGCTGCAGTTGTATGTCACCATACTTGACCCCAGCCTATACTTTTAAAAATCTTATTTTTAATGATGTTTGCTTGTGTGTCTGTGTGGGCATGAGTGCCAATGCCCACGATCAGATGTCCTGAAGTTATAGGTATCTCTGAGTTGCCTGACATGGGTGCTGGGAGGCAGACTCAGGTCTTCTACAAGAGCAGTATATGCCATTATCCTACCTCTGTAGGCCCTACATACCAATCTTACTAAAATTTTGGCATGATGTTGAAAATGTAATTTCCCAAGTTTTGTTTTATTTAGCTGTAAAATGGAATTGTTGCAGGGTTATAGTGATGAACAAATAAAATAATGTATATATAGCAATTGCTAAACTTGATAGTATTGTCCATTGCTGTTGGAAGATTCTTGTACTATGGGAGAAGTGGGTATGGCTTTTGTTTTTTTCCTTCTTCCTAATCCGTTCTAAGATTATATAAGTAACACATCTTATTGTATAATGGTAGATACATAATAAATATGTAATAATTCTCAAAACTATTTTTAATCTCTGTACCTGAATATGAATACACACACACACACATATACACACACACACATTATCTGAGTCAGTTTTCTGAAGGAGAGGATTATAATATACTTTTGCGACTGTTTTGTAATCCTGACAATATAGTAGATACAATGTAAGGAGGCCACCATTTTACTGATCATCACTTTGCCTGCATGGAAAAATGATTAAACTTAGCCTGCTGGTAGAAGTTTGGATTACTTGCAGTTAATTTTGTGTGTATGTACTTAAATGTCCATATTTACATACGCATATACATATGGGAAGGGAGAGCGCGTGTGTGGGTGAGATGAAGCAACACCTAGCAGCAGTGACATTCTGTGTCAGCTTCTGAAATAACTGGAAGTATAAGTGCATGTTGCTGTATCTAGCTTTAAATTATATTTTATTCTCAAGAGCTCTTGAGTAACTCTGGACCCTTGTCCCAGTGCATGATGATGGCAAAGGCTTATTATTCTATCTGTTGCTAAAGTTGTTATTTTTAATATTTTTATTGATTAGTTGTGGAAGGTTTTTGTAGATGAGCTTTCAGAATTATCAAAATACCACATAGTGTGGGAACACTAAAAAATTTCTGGGGGCTGGAGAGATGGCTCAGAGGTTAAGAGCATTGCCTGCTCTTCCAAAGGTCCTGAGTTCAATTCCCAGCAACCACATGGTGGCTCACAACCATCTGTAATGAGGTCTGGTGCCCTCTTCTGGCCTGCACCACAGACAGAATACTGCATACATAATAAATAAATAAATAAATAAATAAATAAATAAATAAATAAATAAACAAACAAACAAATAAATATTTTAAAAAATTCTGGTTGCACACGTATTATGGGGTGTTGCTGTGTGTGTAAAATATGTTACTATATTGCTGTGTATGTTTGTAGGATGGAATGTTACTTGTTGTGCTTGGAAGAATACATTGTGGCAAGTAGAAGGGGGAAAGTGCTCCAGGAGACCTAGATATCTTTAGGCTTGTACCTGCACTTGAGGTTGAGATAGAATGGTTTTAAGTTTCAGGCCAGCCGGGCGATGTTGGTGCAGGCCTTTATTTAATCCCAGCACTCGGGAGGCAGAGGCAGGAGGATCTCTGTGAGTTCGAGGCTAGCCTGGTCTACAAGAGCTAGTTCCAGGACAGGCACCAAAAACTACAGAGAAACCCTGTCTCGAAAATCCAAAAAAAAAAAAAAAAAGTTTCAGGCCAGCCTTGGCTACATAGTGAGTCTAAGTCGGAAATAAAACTACCCAGGTGGATTTTGTTAGTACTTGTTTTTTTATGGATTGGCAAGAGAATTTATAGTGGGTAGGAAGAGAAAAACAATTGATGGAGGAGCAAATTATTGAAAGAAGCATTTCTTCAAGTTAGACTTTTGATATGTTTCTAATTAATTAATTCATGTGGTGTACATTTCATACCAGTGGGCTTCACGTGTGTGTGTGTGTGTGTGTGTGTGTGTGTGTGTGTGTGTGTGTATCCTAGAGGGTTTCTGGGAAGGCTGACATAAATTTGGATATGTATATTAATAAATTGTCTGCATCAGAATTTCTTTATGTCCTTATTTAAAATACACAAGTTTCAAAGCCTTGGCATATTTACAGAATCTATTGTCAATATCCTGGATTTGTCTAACTTTTAAATTCTTTCTAATCCCATACTAATGTCCTACGGAATAGTGTTGTGAGAAGTATAATTCAGATAGTGTAGTAATGACTAAAGGCATATTCCTGTAATAGCTTTATAATATAAAATATAAATAGAGCCTGTAGGAAACAGTAATATATACATTTTAGAGCTGACACGATGCTCTAAAATGACAGTTTTGTATTATTATATGTATATTATACTAAATAAACTTTCATTTTGTATAGTCTCATGTAGTCTTTTTTCTTTATGACTTGATTAGTACTAATGTCTTCTCTGTTCTATGATGTCAGACCAAGTCCATGAAACAGAAGTATGGATGTATGCTAGACTTTTGAAGTAATTGGCTTTCAAATGTTGAATTGAAGACATTTGTTTACATTTCTTTTTTTTCCACTATTATCTAAAGTAAGGGTCTATGACTATTATTCAGTTTAACTTTAGACAATTACAGGTTACAGGTTAAAGAAATTAAAGAAATTTGGTAGAGAAATTAATTTTGCTTGAAATTGTGATAATAGTTTTATATTTCTAGTACATAAATTAAGCTTAATATTAAGTCTTTTAAATAATAATGTGGCAAAGAATTGCTATTGGTAAAGTTGTCCATTTTTTTTTTATATTAGCTCACAAAGGAGGAAGAACGAGAGAAGAAGTTTTCCAGAAGGCTGAATCATAGTCCTCCCCAGTCAAGCTCCCGCTACAGAGACAACAGGTGATTTGTTTAGCTTTCATTTTTTATTATTTAGGTTATATTTTATATAGGGATAAGTAGCATTTATATTTTCGTTGTTCTTTTGGATATATTTTATCTAGGATCTTGCCAGTTAGGTGGTATATAACTCATGGCAGTCCTGCCTCTGCCTTTCGAGTGTTAGGATTGTATTGCAGACATGTGCCAGCATCACTCCCAGCACTCGTGCTCTCTTGTTCAGGAAAGGATAATTGGGTCCTTTCCTACCGAGAATATCTAGGTCCATGTGCTGAGCGTGAGATTCGGAATAGTGCTTTGTATATTGGTTGGTATTGATGTTGCTTTCCCTAACTTCAGATCCAGTGGCTCTTAGTGAGAGATTTGATTTGGCGCTCTTTTGGGCAACAGTGGGGTTGGGGATTGAAGGTTCCCTTTAGTGTGTTTAAATTATTTTTCCTATTATGATTTCAAAAGTGTTTGGAGTATTATGTAAGTGGTACTTGTAAATGTGATTGTATGTATAGACTATTTGTAATATAAGATGCATGTAGATGCCTTCTGTGTAGATACATAATTGAATAGATATTGTACATAAGACTAAGAATTAAGAGATTTGATTTTTCTTTTTAAAAACTTTTAGAATAAGCAGTCTCAGAATTTTCAATTTTTGAAGTTGCCCTTGTTTGTATTATGATAATGACACAACTTAGATATTTGAAAGGTTTTTTTCTCCTTACATGTACTTCAGCATGATTCACATAAAAGTGATGATACATTTTTTAGAAGCCGCGATGAGAGGAAAAAAGACGATCGTTCTCGCAAAAGAGATTATGATCGAAATCCTCCTCGAAGAGATTCATATAGAGACCGGTATAACAGAAGGCGAGGGAGAAGTCGCAGTTACAGCAGGAGTCGCAGCCGAAGTTGGAGTAAAGAGCGGCTTCGTGACCGGGATAGAGATAGAAGCAGGACGAGGAGCAGAAGCCGGACACGAAGCCGGGGTTAGTAATCCATGTGTTCGTGGTTTGGTTATAGTTCTTCACTTTGAAAATCCTTCCATGCTGCTCAGTGTGTTGTCTTTTATCTTTCCTATTTGCCTGCCTCTGCCTCCCAAGTTCTGGGATTAAAGGTGTGCACCTCCTCTGTTCAGTCTCCTACTATGGTTTTTGAGAATGCCTTCTCTTTTTCTTTTCTTTTGAATACAAGTTCTCACTGTATCTGACTGACTTAGAACTGGTTATGTACACCGGGCTGTCCTTAAACACCCAGAGATCTGCATGCTTGTAATGGGATAAAAGGCATGCATCTCCATGGATGGCTTCTAGGATTGTTTTCCTAAAAAAAGTTACATATTTATTTATTGTTTTCATTCAAGATAATGCCTAACTATGTAGTTCTGGCCATCGTGGACCACTTTGAATTCACAGAGGTCCACCTACCTCTGCCTCCCAGGAGCTAGGAGTAAAGGTGTGTGCCACCAAGTCTGGCTTGTGAATACTAAAGACTTTCTACTAAATACTTTTATTTCGTGTATATTGACTGAGCTTGGCACAATGTGTATTTATTGGACAGCTTTATTTTTAAAGTCTAAAATATTTCTTGGTTATTTTATATGTGAATACAATATATTGTTACTATTATACTCCCAAATCCACCCAGATAATTAATAAAGAACCTGCTTGGCCTTTGATAGGACAGCAGCTTAGATAGGTGGAGTAGACAGAACAGAATGCTGGGAAAAAGAAGCCGAGTCAGGCAGTCGCCATGATTCTCCCACCCGACACAGACGCAGGTTAAGATCTTCCCTGATAAGCCACCTCGTGGTGCTACACACATTATTAATAATGGGTTAAAGCAAGATGTGAGAGTTAGCCAGTAAGAGGCTAAAACTAATGGGCCAAGCAGTGTTTAAAAGAATACAATTTGTGTGTTGTTATTTGGGTGTAAAGCTAGCCGGGTGGCAGGACAAAGCTCCGCTGCTCCATACAACATATTATTACTATTATACTCCCAAATCCATCCAGATCTATTCCCCTCACTTTTCCAATTTGAGGTTTTTTAAATATTTTAAATATCACATCAAATCAAATTAGTGCTGCCAAGATGTGCATGAGTCTAGATTACCATCCACTGTAGCACAGCCAGCTTACCGTAGGCTGTGCTACTGAAATATACTGACTCCTGCCCCTGCAGCCAGCAGCAGCTGATAGCTCCTGACTAAGAGTGGGGCCTCCTGAGTCTCTTCTCTCTATGCTGGAGTCAGTGTGATCTGCAGGCAGCCATATTGGCTGTGTGTTCATGAATGCAGAATCCAGAAGACACTATTTTACACTGGTCTTCTGAACTGTGTCTCTACAGCCTTTCTGTCTCCTCCTCAGTTATTTGGGAAAGGCTGGGACCTAGCTGTCTGTGTAGGACTGAGCGCTCCAGTCCCTTACGTCTACACTTTGATCAGCGAGTTATTAAGTAACTTATAAAGGAGAACATCTGTGAAAGTTTGAACTGTTTTATGTATTTAGCAAAAACTGACATTGTTTTTTTAAGATCTGTATTTTTTTAAATATAGTTTTGCAAGTTATTTATGTTTTATTTCAGAAAGGGATCTGGTGAAACCTAAATATGACCTGGACAGAACAGATCCATTAGAAAATAATTATACACCAGTCTCTTCAGTATCTAATATTTCATCTGGCCACTATCCTGTGCCTACTTTGAGCAGCACCATTACTGTGATTGCTCCCACTCATCATGGTAATAACACCACCGAAAGCTGGTCTGAATTTCATGAAGACCAGGTAGATCACAACTCTTATGTGAGGCCACCAATGCCAAAGAAACGGTGTAGAGATTATGATGGTAAGTCGCTCGAGTGGATTTTTTCTATTTTTGTCTAATTTATTTTGTGTTTATATATTTTATTTGTTTAGATTGTATAATAATTCAAAAGGAATTTATGATATTAGAAAGGACAGATTAGCTTTTTATCACTTTATGAATTCCATAATGTCATTTTCCATTAGGTCACTGCTATTAACACTTTAGATTGTGTTTATAATGTTGGAGTTACCAAAAAAGAGTAAATACCATTTGAGTTACCATTAACTCAAGTAAGTACCATTCGTTTCAAGGAATCTGCTCACTTGAACATTTTTGATGAAATCATTTTTATGACATCAGTGATTATTGAAGTATATGTAGGACCTATGAAGTAAACACATCCTGTGTAAGATTTTTCAAAAGAATCAGATGTATGGATTTAATATGAAAGATTATGTTTAGTATTGAAAGCAGAGTTGCAATATGTTTTTGGTGTAAAATGAGAGACTTAAGTATTAAGTGTGTTATCTAATGATAAATAGGAAGTTGCATGTAAGTTTATATTATTTTATTATTATGCTTATTTAAATTTTCTTTTTCATTTTGTATGTTAGGCATATTATTAGTTGATAATTGCTTATATTACTAGGAATGAATAGAGCTCTTGTGCAAGTGTAAATTATAATTTTGCCCAGTACTAAAAATACTCTTATTTGCTGTTTGGTAACTCAGAGATAATTTGTATTTCCAGAGCTTTTCACATTTATTTTTAATAATCCTTTACTTGCAGAAAAGGGGTTTTGTATGAGAGGAGATATGTGCCCTTTTGATCATGGAAGTGATCCAGTAGTGGTAGAAGATGTGAACCTACCTGGGATGCTGCCTTTTCCAGCGCAGCCACCTGTTGTTGAAGGACCACCTCCTCCTGGACTGCCTCCACCTCCTCCAATTCTTACACCCCCACCTGTGAATCTCAGACCCCCAGTGCCACCACCAGGTCCATTACCACCCAGTCTGCCACCTGTCACAGGTCAGTAGATTAAGTTGTTTCCTAGTATTTATTGCTTACTTATAGTCTTTGATGAAATTAGTAATTTCATACTTGTTTTTGTTAATAATTTCTAAAGTAAACCTGGTAGAAACGAAGTATTCTCCCCCTACTTGGATGCACAAGTCACCTTTCCTATAAACTACTTACTGTGATTTGTAACAGCCTGTGGCTTGCATACATTAGGATAATGTTTCCTTGCTAGTAGGTCTTTATAGTTTACAGCAAACTTTTGGAATAAATTAAAAAGAATATTTACTGTAAAAAAATTAACTTACTTTTAGGAGCTTATTCTTTATAGAAAACATTTTAGTTGATAAAAGAGCATTTTAGGTTTGAATGTATAATAATTTATTTCATTTGTTTGCTTTCAGATGATATTTCTTATTCTTTGGTTTTGACAGGACCACCTCCTCCACTCCCTCCTTTACAGCCATCTGGCATGGATGCTCCACCCAACTCTGCAACCAGCTCTGTCCCCACTGTAGTAACAACCGGCATTCATCACCAGCCGCCTCCTGCTCCGCCCTCTCTCTTTACTGCAGGTGCAGTTTTGGTCCCCTCTAAATTCGTAATGTAAAGCTCTGCTTTAAAACTACCTAGTCAGTTCAAAATATGGGAAGAAATTTCTCACTAAAATTATATAGTGTGAAGTGGACTTGATGAATTAACATTAAATCACTCAATTAAGATCTTTTGGAGGACTTCTATTAGTAACTTTTTTAATACAACTCTGTCATATATTTCAAACACATTAGTTTTATGTTTTTTTAAACTAATTATAAGTTATGCTTTTTGTTTTTTCTATTATCACTGTTTGAAAGTTACCAAATGTTTTTTTTTATAATTGTTGTTTAATTACAGTTTTTGTGTTACCAGATACATATGATACAGATGGCTACAATCCTGAAGCACCAAGCATAACAAACACTTCCAGACCTATGTATAGGCACAGAGTGCATGCGCAAAGGCCTAACTTGATAGGACTAACATCAGGGGATATGGATTTGCCACCCAGAGGTATTACGATCAATCTTTTCTTATTTCACAGCATTAATGATGGGACAGCAGGATGGGGTGTAGCTTAGTAGCAGGAAGCTTGCTTATCAAGCACAGGGCCCTGCGTTGATCTCTAACAAAACAAACAACTGACAGAGAAAGGAGGAAAGCTTAAGGAAGGGATGGTGGTGGTTTGCTCACTTGGTTTTCTTGTCTGTCATGAATTCCATATTTATGAAATTCCCCCAAAGTACGTATGTTTTAGGAAACTTATTGTTTTGTTTCATGTGTGGTCTTTCTGATTCACTTAAACCAGTGGATTGTGACCCTTTGACAAACCTATATCTCCAAAAGTATTTACATGACAACTTATAACAGTAGCAAAATTACAGCTATGAAGTGGCAATTAAATAATTTTATGGTTGTTGAGGTCATCTTAACACGAGGAACTGTATTAAAGAGTCGCAGCATTGAGAACATGGATGAGAGTAAGATAGAATTCGTTAAGTCTTGATGTCTGTCCTAGTTTAGATAGCGAAATTATCTAAAACTTGTACTCCATATGCAGATCTCTTTGTATACTTGACATGTTAAAATTTGATACTTTAGCAAAAGGAAATATGGGCTAGCAGTTAATTCATCTTTCAAATTCTAGGAGAGACAGTAAATTATTAAAAACTAGTGTTTAGCCTGAGCCAGGCCACAAAAGTTCTTTACTAGCATCAAGCTGTGACAGTGGTTCAGTGTGAAACAGTATAGCAGTTACAGATAACATGATAAAGGAGTTGAAAGATTGTTAGACAAAAAATTATGGTGGCAGAAAGAGGTGTTTTATCTTAATCATATCATTTGAAATTTGCATTCTAGTTTTTTTTTCTTTCTGGCTTATGTAGAGTAAAAGTATTAAGACTTCAGTTGCATATAAATGCCCAACTTACATAATAGTACTTATGTAGAGTAGTAAATTTAGGATTGCTTATAATTTGAGGTTTTTATTATTTATTGGAATTTGTCAGATTCTGAATATCTACTTTGTCTATTTGAAAAGCACGTGTGGCAGGATATGAAGAACAATCTAACTCAAATTTATATCCTCTGAAGTATCACAGCATCAGTTCATATTTGCCCTCTTTGAGAACCTTCATGTGCATGTTTCTCTCCAATACACCATTAAATTCTCTCTAGGATATTCAATAATTTATCATCAGTGATAGCAGGAAAGCAAGTTTTCTTTTTTTAGTTGCTTCTATAAATGAGACATATACATTGCACATAATGGGAAAGTAGACCCTTGAGATTATAGTTGTTAATAATGTTTACTTATCCTCTGAATTTCTCTCCCACCCTGGTTAGTTTACAGGAGTCTTCTTTCTTTCCTTGGGTCAGTTTAGCACTTAGAAAGAAAAACAATAATTTTTAATTATGTATTTTTGTCTGTGGGTTTATATGTGAATGCAGGTGCCCAAGCAGTCCAACAGAGGGTGTTATTTCCTCTGGTGTTATGAACTGCCTGATGTGGGTGCTGGGTACTGAACTCAGGTCATCTGCAAGAGTAGTACTCCCTTTTAACTGCTGAGCTCTTTGTCTGGCCCTATATTTTCATTAAAAGTCATATCAATAGTCCTTGCTGTTACTGGTAACTACTACTTCACTCATGTTTTGCTTCTTTTGTTTGGCATAAATGTATGCTGCTACTGGGTAATAATATTTTAAACACTGTTCAGTGCCAGACTGATTTTTAGTTTTGATTGAGAGAAGGAAGAGAAATCAAATCCTTTGCATGTAAATTTTATGACTTAGCCATTGGCATTGTGGTAATTTCAGCTCTTTGAATACTGTTGCAGGATACATGAAGTGCTCTTATTGAGAGATGAATGTACACTGCCTTTTCTCATAGTATAATGATTATTTTAATATTAGATACATCATGTTTTTTGTGTGATAATTTAGAAATGCATTTTTTACTTTTAGAAATGCATTAATTACTTTTAATTTGTCAACTGATTTAGCAAACTGTTTAAATTGAGAATTGTTTATATGAATTTCATGTCTTTCAGTCCTTTCTTTTCATCCCATTATGTTCTTTTCAATCCCCATTTTAGATTTCAAATTTCTTGTTCTGGACTGTGACAGTTGTGTGAACAGCTTGTAGTGATATGAATTACTTGATTACTATGCATTTCTGGTAGCCTGAACCATGGCATTAGTTTGTCGTGGGGGGTATTATTTGATAATTTGACTTAGGTTTCATACTTTAAATCTTGATATGAGGTAATCATTAAATAAAACATCTTGGACACTTTTTATGATATGGAATTTTAATATAAAAATGACTTCTTTGTCCTTAAAATTATTTTTATATTTCTAAGGACAAGAACTGGATAGATGCTCCCACAGGTAGATATAGGCAGGAAGAAGAATTTAATAGCTTAAGGCAACTATCTGGTGCTGTTAGTTTTAACCAGAAATACTATAGAACTGATAATATTGTTTGGAAATGTTATATATAGATGATTAGATGCATTTGCTAATTGCATATCATGAAATACTTATTCTTTGTTTTTAATGCTTATTTTCAAGTAAACCTTAGTGAAAGTGAATCTGAAAGAGAAAATAGAGGTGTAGCAAATGTGCCAATTACTGGGTGAAAAACACTTTACTGTGTTTCTTAGTTTTCAGATAATTGAGGTTTGTTTTAGTGGAAAAGGGTATTGAATAGCTTAAAGCTTCTCCAAACGAGCCAGTGAGCTAAGTGCCTACACTAGGGGACTAAGTCCTCTTGGAGAACTGGTCATGTGAGTGCATTCCTACCGACAGAAACCACAACTGCACTTTGATCACCACTAACTCCAATGCCACCCTTTCCCATTGAGATCAATATGACATGACATTTGTACCAGCAATTCATACAGTACACTGAGAAGTTGGTCAGCGAGAGAAAGCGAACAGTTTAAAGTATATACAGTTTACACTTCTGAGAAACTCAACTTTGTCTCAAAAAGGAAAGAGGTGTAGAAGTTCACAGGACAGTGAAGACATTTGAAGAGTTTTAAAATAGGTGATAGAACTGGTCTAGGTTAGCAGTCGTGGGAACTGAGATTTTGACAGCATGATTTACTAAATGTGATTGGAAGAGTAATGTAAAGGCTGAAATCAAATACCAGTTTTTGTTTTGATAATTAGGAAGTGATAATAACATTTGCTACAAAAAGAATGGATTGGTAGATAAATTTTGTTAGTGTTTAGGTATTATGCCTGTTAAGTCATCTGATTAGAATACTTAAGTCTCAGCTTCCTGAAGACAGCTGACTGGAAATTACTTTGGAATCATAAATATGGAGGTAAAGAATAATAGAATGCGCCACACTGAGTCTTGCACGGTTGACTCACATGGAACAAAGAGTCTTTCTGTTTATTTTCACATCCCTCCCCTATATTTCTGCCCCGCTCTCCACACACCGGAACTCCTGAGAAACACCGGGAAAGATGAATGATAGTACATAAAAGAAGGGCACCAGGGAGATAATGGAGTGAGATGAGGGAGCCAGGCTTACTAGGGACTGGAAACAAAAGGCCACAAACAAAAAGGATTCCTTAAAATCAGAACTGGTGATACCTAAGAGGGGAAGTAATCAGCAACAGCAAATGTCTCTTGGAGGCCAGTTAAAAACTGAGAAGTAGGACTGGACAAGTGGTTAAGATGTTAAAAGCACTTACTGCTGTTTTAGAAGACCAGGGTTTGATTCCAGTCCCAGCATCCACATGGTGGCTCATGTCTGACGCCTCCATCTCTGCAGTCACCAGGCATATACACCGTGTACAGTGTACAGGCAAAGTACACATACACAACTGGGAAAAGACACTGAATATTCATACTCCTAAGTATCAAATTGTGACATCAGTTATTTATTTTTCTTTCATGAACAAGATAAGTCTAGTAATGTGAACAGCTACCAATTTCCAGAGGACTAGTGACTGATTGGGTGTGGTAAGGAAGAAGAGATAGTCAAATGTAAATATCTCTTAGGGACTAGATGTAGGATATGTAGAGAGAAACTAGAGGAGTAAAAGGAGAAGCCCCTTTGTAAATATGGAGGAATATGAACTGTAATATCAGGTGCTGCTGATGTTCCAGTGTCATAGGAGAGCTAGAAAATGGAACCAAGCAGCGGGGCTCCGAGACATAGATTGGAGGCTCTGTCTTTATGCTAGAGAAATTGGGAATTTAGAAGCCCAGGAGAGACAACAAGCTATGTAAAAAGACAAGCTTATAAGATTGCTTTAGCAGAATGTTTATAAAATATTGGTTAATAGATGTTTCTAATTCTCTAGCGCTATATTCAGTCTTGAATATTTCTTTTAAAACATATTTTCAGTTATGTTAATGTTGCAATTTAAGCAGTATAGTTGCAATTTGCTAGTTTGCAAAGGCGGTTTGATGTGTTTGAGCTTATAATTGTGCCTTTGATTTCAAAACTATGAATTTAAAGTCTCAAGTGACTTATTTCTATATGTTTTGGTTTATGATAAAAGATGCAAATTGGAGGAGTGGCATGGATTTTGCCTTTAGAATCATATTTGCCATGTGAACTTTATTGAGTCTTAGAGCTAAGTGTGAATTTAAAAAACTGCATCTGAATTTTAAAATTTCCGAGGAGACTAAAATTCTCTTGAAATAATGTACTTGAATGTATATTGACCCTTTTGATTACAAAATATATTCATTTGGAGAGAAATGAACTCTTTCATTGGTGACGTAGCTGAGATAAACAAAAAAATATTAATGTCTACTTTTGTTTTGACACAGAAAAGCCTCCTAATAAAAGCAGTATGAGGATAGTAGTGGATTCAGAATCAAGGAAAAGAACCATTGGGTCTGGAGAACCTGGAGTTTCTACAAAGAAGACGTGGTTTGATAAGTAATTAAATATTAAACTTATTATTTAAATTAGAATTAATTATATTAATAAATTTTGTTTTACATTGATTATTACTGTATTATTATGACTATGTAATCTTTTCTCTTAAAAGATACTGATATGTAGGCTGTCCTCAGCTACAATTTTTGTTTTCTAGAAATTTATACAAATTGGTTTGACAGTACAAAGCTATTTTCTTAGAAAATAGTGGAGAACACAATTTTACGCTTTCTTCTTCCACCTCAGAAAGAAGCGACCCCTTCTACATGTTAGCTGTATTATTGAGTAGACGCTGTGCACAGGATAGTTAGGAGCCCAGTGGCGTGGGAGAAGAATGTAGACGGTCTGGGTGGCGACTGCAGCATGTAGACACTTCCTCTTAGGAACTGAAAAGGGCTCTGGGGGTGGGGGGTGGCGGAGAGGCTGAAGAGGCACTGAATAGATCAGGAAGAACTTTGAAGAAAGGAAGAAAGTCAGAATACTGGAGAGTTTGGCATTGCATTTAAACAATTTCACACATAAAGGGAGATTAGGGCCACACCTAATAGTTCAATAGTTTTTATGTCTGATTTTGCTATTTAAGGGAAAAGGTAGCTTCATATATCACAGATACTATTTTATTTATGTGCCAAAGTATCATGTATATTTCCAATAATTTTGTTTCTTAAACTGGAGACAGGTTGAGGTGTCATCTTTATATCAAAAAGTAAAGAGTTCCTAAAATGAAATGCTTTTCAGTAAGCTAACTTGCAGAATAGAAAAAGATTTGTGTGTACATTTTGACTAAATGCAATAGTAGTACCTTTTTGATGAAAATAGTTAGCAGAAGATGAAAAGTGTAAGTAAAGAGGGATATGGTGTCCATAAAAGATAGTAACGTTACAAATTTGGAAACTTGTTGAAAGAAAACTTAAAATTTCCTTATCAACTAGTACCTCCAGTTTTGGAGAAAAATTGATTAAATTAAGATTTACATTTTACTTGTAAAACTTCTTTCTTTGTAGTAGTTGGAGTCAGCATTTATAAATATATTGATCGACTTGATTTTTGTTTACAGACCTAATTTTAATAGGACAAACAGCCCAGGTTTCCAGAAGAAGGTTCAGTTTGGAAATGAAAATACTAAACTTGAACTTAGGAAAGTTCCTCCGGAATTAAATAATATCAGCAAACTTAATGAACATTTTAGTAGATTTGGAACATTGGTTAACTTACAGGTAAGAGGTGTGGAATGATACTATTGTCAGTAATTATTTAAAGAACTTAAGAAAACTTTGTTTATAGAGATCTAGAAAATTTGTTCAGATTATCTTATCTGTTACTAGAATGAAATACCTGAAGAGGGCTCATTTAATAAAGAAAAGAGATATTTTGTAAGATGAAGTAATGCTGTTAGTTTGGTCTCTGATGAGAGATGGTTGGGCTAGGGGGATTCAGTGGTCAGACTCACTCCCATACACCTTTCTCTTGTGAGAGCCCAGGGATCCCTGAGATCTTGTGGCTTAATTAGGATTACTGTTGCTGTGATGAAACACATTGACCAAAGCAATTTGGAGAGGAAATGGTTTATTCACCATATGCTTCCTTATCAGCCTTCATCATCAAAGGAGATCAGGATAAGAACTCAAGCAGGGCAGGAACCTGTAGGCAGGAACAGTTGCAGAGGCCATGGGGGAGTGCAGGTTACTGGCTTGCTCAGCCTGCGTTCTTACAAAAGCCAGGACCACCAGCCCAGGGAGGTCCCTTACTCGCAGTGGACTAGGCCCTTCCACATCAGTCACTTGTAAAGAAAATGCCCCACAGACTTGTGCATGGCCTATGGAGGCATTTGTCTTAATTGAGGTTCCTTCCTCTGAAATGACTTTTAGTGTGTGTGAAGCTGACTTAAAACTATCCAGCATAGTTTGTAAGGACAGCTCCTCTAAATGATCTGATAACCTACCACTAGCCTCACTTCTTCAAAGATTCTCACCACTTACCAGCACTGCTGGCACTAATGGCTTGTTTTGACCTGTCTTTGTTCTGGGAAACTAAAAAATGTCATGAAACTGCTTCCACATTGAAATCTAAATGTTTATCCAGGTTATGGTCACTCAGATCTGGCCCCCAAATAAACTTTTCTCTTACTGCCATAAACAAATAAGTAAATAAACAAAAAGCAAAGAACTTTCTCATGCTCTTTAGAAATAACTCTGCGTTGGCACGTTGTATTGATAGACTAGGTCTAAGAAACTGTGATGATAAGCTCCTTACTTACTTGGAAGGACCAGCATTTCATATCTTGAGAAATTGACTGTCTAAAGCTGTGTATTCCTTTAGAAGTAAACTGTCCTCAATATGTTAAATCTTAGGTTGCCTACAATGGTGATCCTGAAGGTGCCCTTATCCAATTTGCAACATATGAAGAGGCAAAGAAAGCAATCTCAAGTACAGAAGCAGTATTAAATAACCGCTTTATTAAGGTTTATTGGCACAGAGAAGGAACTACTCAGCAGTTACAGACCACTTCACCAAAGGTAAGAGAAATTTGTGTGAAGTCTAATGTTTCTTGGGGTCTTTTAACAGTTCTTAAACAGAGGCTTTTGAGCTATGAGGTGCCTGGCTTTCCTACTATAGAGACTTGACAAAGTTACTTATCCAGACTATTCTTTCATTAGCTTGTGAGGTTAATCCTAGTTTAGAGAATTATAATATGGTATGTGTAAAGCATCTGGAACATTTGCTGGAACATTATCACTCATTAAGAGATGACTATATATCTTATAAGTTTATACTACACAGTATCTTTGGAATTCTTTTTCTTCCTTTCACTTTTCTCCCTTTCTCTTTCTCTTTTTTAAAGGTTATAGAATAGTCTGTTTTTGCATTGTTAAAGCAAACAATGATGATTTAATTATTTTTCTGTACTTTTATAATTTATTTCTTACAAAGAAGATTTATACACTGAAAAGAATTGAAAGATAGTTGAGTTTGATTATAATTTAAACATTCTTTATATGGTAATGAGTACAAAATCACCCTGGTTGGATTTTTATCTTCCTTTACTAACTAGCTTGTTTTTAATCTTTTCACTTGTTCCGAGGTAATACAGCCGTTAGTTCAGCAGCCCATTTTACCTGTTGTGAAACAATCTGTCAAAGAGCGGTTGGGTCCTGTACCATCAGTTACTGTTGAACCAGCAGAAGCTCAGAGTGCTACTTCAGACCTTCCCCAGGTAAATAGAAGGTTTTATCAAGAGGTCTGTCAAATAGGTTCTTATTCATTTACCATTCATTTTCCTTGGTAACTAGAATTTTGATGATGTATATTCTACACAGAAATATGGTATTTATGTCTTTGAACTTCTCCTGTAAGTTAGTTTTACTGTAACATTTGCATTGTCTTCTGCTAGAAAATACTTAGGAGAAAGGTCTCTTTTTTACTTTGTGGAGATGTATTTAAACAAATTTGCCTGAGAGTGAATTTCAGTATACTAAATCTTATTTTTTCTATTATCCTTTTGCTTAGTGTTTTATCTCCTGATAATTATGCAGTAGGGTGATCAGAAAACATTTGAGAAAGGAAGACTTACACCATCAGTCTACATGTGCTTGATGGATGATGATACATTGTTTTAGGAACTCACTTGCCCTGCTTAGAACTTTGCACCACTTACTACTGCCTGGATTCTCTTTATATATGTTGTTGCTTTCCAAATTCTGTACTTGAGTGACAGTTTTTTGTCTCTACACTCTCGGTCTCAGAAATTTAGCTTTTCTTTTTCTCTAGATGTTTTAAGACTTGCTGTACATAATTGGGTTAGGATGTAGTATCCTACTTAGCTAATAGATGCCATGGTAGGTGCTCTTTTCGATAATTCCTCATGCATAGAGTAAGATAATAAGATTCTATATGAAGGTTCAGAATGCAAATTGATAAGCAGTTACTTTTAAATTTTATGTAAGTAATCACTAAGTATAGTGTATTTAAATATAAGCATATTTTGGGAATAAATGACTCTCGTTTTTAAGCTTATGAAGCAGGTTTATACTTTAAATGTTCACATCTATTTTTAAATGTGCAGACTTTCTACTTATTAATGTACAATTCCAGGAAGGGACATTAGGAACCAACTATTTGGACAGATGTTTACATTGTAATTTTTTTATGGTTAATATTAAGGACTTTTTGTTTTTCAACATCTGTTTCCTTTTTATCTTCTTATTCTTTTCCCTTCTCTTCTTTCTCCTTGTTTCTCTCCCATTTTTTTTTAAAGGCCCAAGTTTCTGTGGCTAGTATTGTTATGCACAAACTCAGTATATATAGTAGAATCAGGATGTTCAAAATCCCAACAGACTTAATATATGTTTGGGGAAACACTGAATATGTCCGTTTTAATCTTTTTAGAATGTAACTAAGTTATCTGTGAAGGACAGGTTGGGTTTTGTATCAAAGCCATCTGTTTCAGCAACTGAAAAGGTAAGAATAGCATGATGTGTTTGTCTTGGCTTCATAAATGTTTTCCAGGTGGCATCTTCATTTTTAATTTTTTTTTCATGGCTCCAAACTCCTGCTTCTTAATAGTATTGGTAGCTCTTACTCCTATTTGCTGAAAAAGAAAAGCCTAGCTACTTTCTTTTTTACATCAACATTGTAATACTTGCTTCTCTTATTTCTGTGTGCTCCATTCTTTGTCTTCTTTTATGTTTATTTTCTAAAGAGACATGCATTTTAGTTTCAAAACTCTGGTAGCGTAATAGAAAGGGTCATGAGCTAGGAATATTATCAGAATTTGATCCCCAGCTTTCTGTTTACTAACTGCATGATAATTGGCAGTGCATTTAACGTTTCTCAGTCTTTTAACGTATTGGTAGGCTGGTGATGGTAACATGTCTTTGTTTACTTAAAAGTAGTCCGTAAATGGGAAGGATGATCTAATTATTTCATTTTTGGCAGTTTAAAGTTATTGCTGTCAGTTATCTCTATAAGGCTTTACAATACACTTTTTAAAAAAGAAGGTAAATACAGATTGTTACAGCTGTTTATGGTTCTGTCTTCTGAATAGACAGACATAGGGTATTTTGTTTTCATGTTGCGGTATTAGGGACTTCCCTGATAACATTGTTTTGTTCGAAATACATGAAACTATAGGATATTAGAACTGAATGATCTAAAGACCAAGTATAACCAAGCCCCGAAAGATTTGTGTTTCTCTGATTTTTAGTCCATGTTCTTTCTAGTCTGAAGGTTATAGTGGAAATTCATGATGAAAATGAGTCAAGCATCTCCTGAACTGCCCTCCATTTGTTCTTTAGAGTACTGTTTTTTTTTTTTAATTATTATTATTTATCTTTGTGGTCTTTGACATTTCTAGAAATTTGAAACTCAGTTTGCATCAGGCCTTCCTCTTGGGCATCTCAGTGCCTAAAATGAATTATTTTCCATATAGAAGTTAATTTTAATTTCTAGTCCTCACCTCTAGAAGTGGTTGTCTTAAAACCTCATGGGCACGATGCCTGTATTTATAGTCTACCACTTTTTCTCTACTTAAGTTTCCTGGCTTTTGGGTGCCTATTAGCAGGTGTCTTGCCATTCTCCTCTTTAAATTTTACTTTGTTGCCAATGTGTCAATACCATTCCAGTGCCTGTTTATTATTGAAAATGTGAATTTATTGGCTACAGTTACTTTGTTTCATAAACAGTTCATAGACACCTCTGCCCTTGGTAGTTTGTCTCACTTTTGCTGTGCAATCTATGTTATCTACATTAGGAATAACTTGTGTACTGTCTGTGTCCTTCAACCCAAGGTTTCAGTCTTGTTCTCTTCCAGTTTCTTTTCTAGCTCACTCTTCTCTTTTGTTTTTGTTCTATCCTGGTCTAGTTTTAGCTTCTTTGTAGTGCTTCTCCTGGAGTGCATTTACCTTGCCAATCAAATGTCCTGCCCTGGTGTCTAATATGCCAGTCTTAGATATTAAACTTATCATAGAATGTTCATTTTTGAACTAAAAAAAATGTTTTTTTTTTTTTAATTATTATTTTGGATATTTTTAAGACAGGGTTTCTCTGTAGTTCTGGCCGTCCTGGAACTCACTCTGTAGACCTGGCTGGCCTCAAACTCAGAGATCCACCTGCCTTTTTCTCCTGAGTGCTGGGATTAGAGGCATGAACCACCACTGCCCGACTTAATGTATTTTTTTTTTTTACTCCGAGGTATATATTATCCTGTTTTTATAATGAAAGTTAACATTTGTATTTGGAATTTTTTAAAATTGGAGATTGTGTGGTATAACTGAGCTACATTTCATATAGACACTTTCGTTTTTCATTTAGCCATTGGAAATGACATTGAGCAAGTTATCTTAAATTTTGATTTGATGTAGAGTTTTGCTAATATAAATCCAAAGATTGGTAGAATAAAAGAAGCTTTTCTCTCCCATTATTTGTTATTTTCATTTGTAGTACATTGTCCTCCAAAGACTTTTTTCCCTGTTTTTTTTTTGAGACAGGATTTCTCTATAGTTTTGGAGCCTGTCCTGGAACTAGCTCTTGTAGACCAGGCTGGCCTCAAACTCACAGAGATCCACCTGCCTCTGCCTCCCGAGTGCTGGGATTAAAGGTGTGCGCCACCACCTCCCGACTTCTTGGATTATTTTTTATTACTGGAAAATTTGACTTATTTAAAAGATTGGCTGCACTTTCTGGGAGCTAGAGTTTGTAGCAAGATTGATTATGGATTGCAAATAGTTTTTCTTTGTTTAAAATGTTTCTCTGTAAGGTCATTTATTCCTTTATCATATATGGAAAATTAAAAAGTTGAATTCATGTAGCAGAGTAATGTTAGGGCTCCAGGGTGAGGAAATTATGAAGATAATAGTTGAAGGTTGTAAAATAATTTCAGAACATAAGTACAACATGATAACTTCAGTGAATAGCCATGATGTTAAGTGTCCTCACAACCAAAATGTGACGCATTGCAAGTATTCAGTTTAGCCATATACAAGAGATTCACACATACACATCCATATACACACAATGTATTTATGGCAGTTGTAATGTTTTACTGTTGGTTAAATTAAGCTTTTAAAAAGTACCTAATATTGTTGAGAAGAATCTTCAGAATACTTTATAAATGAACCTTTAGATCTTGTTCTTCTCACAGATCTCCACTGGCCAGTGCTGTAGACTGCATATCTATGCTGTTAAGTAATATTGTAAATAAACATTCCACTTTATTGAATAGATGCATACTTAATCAAAAACATTAAGCATATTAATTTTCCTGTATATATAATACCTCAGATACTTTTAAAGTTAACTGAGTTTCTCTTTTCTGCTTTAAATACCTGCTAGAACTTTTCTTTAACATGTTTACATTCTTTTATATTAAATTTCAGTTTGAACATTTTAAAAATGAAGCTTAGATGACTTCATAGTAATCCTAAATGGTAAATAATTTTGTTTTTTTGCAGAATAGTCTTTCCCTCCTATCCTTAGCAAGAAAATGTTTGGTTTTTCCACGAACTAGTACTAGTATGGATGATAATGTTGTTTGTAAGAGACAGAGATGTGAGAACTAGATAAACGGCTCAGCAGTTGAGAGTACTTGTTGGTCTTGTAGAGGACCCAGGCTTGTTTCCCAGAACCCTTGTAACTTCAGAAGGTTTAGGAGATCTTGTGCCCTCTTTTGAACTCCTTGGACCCCAGACACGCACATAATGCATATATGTAACATACTGGCAAAACGCAAATACATATAAAATAAATCTAAATGAAAAAGAAAGAAAATGTGTTAGTGAAGTGTAACCTCTTTAGAGAATTGACATGTCTTGGTTATAGGAGATATTAATGAAAGCTTACCACATGATAGACCTCTTAACCCATCTTCTGGGTTTATATTTGCTACCAAAACTTGACAAAGGATATCATAAGAAAGGAAAATTATAGACTAACACCAATTATGAACATAAACACAGATATTCCAAATAAAATATTAGTAATTTCCAGTGTATGTCAAATGCATAATACATTGTGGCTAAAAAAGATTTAGTCTAGAAACTCAAGATGATTTAGCATCAAGAAATCTATTTAACTAACCACATTAGTATTGGAAGGGAGAGGAAAAACCTCACATGAATAACTTGGTAGAAAAACATTTGGTGAAATATTTAACAATCTACAAAATAGGAATAGGCAGGTTCTCTACATTGATAAAGAATGTTTGCATCCTTACCCACCAGAATTAACATTGAACTTAATGGTGAAACATATTGAATGTCTCCCATCTGTCAAGTTCAGGAAATGAGACAGAGATGTCCACTGTAAACACTTGCAGATTTTTCTGTAGGGCCTAACCAATACAGTAAAGTAGTAAAATGAAATAAACCATTATAAAGATTCTAAAGGAGGAAATAAAACTGTTTGTATTTGGGTGACACAATTATTATATGTATAGAAAATCCAAAATAAACTTAGAAGCAGTCGAGATGGTGAATACAATTAGATCTTCAGAAGTTAAGCTAGTATTATGTCACCACGTTAAGTTACATTATGTGAAAAAATTGGAAAATAAACATGCTGTGTTTACTTGCAAAGGTCATGCTTTGTATTAGGAATTGTAACTTAATCTTGTCTGTTGGGATTGTTTTGCTTCCTCCACTGTTTTCATTTTAAATGTACTTATTTATTGACAGTGCTAGAGGTTGGACCCATGACTGTGCTGCCAGCCTCCAGTCTCAGATGTAGATGTCTGTGCTGCCAGCCTCCAGTCTCAGATGTAGCCCTTAGTGTGCTGCCAGTGCTTCCAGTTCCCAGTGCTGGCTTTGCAGGCACATGCCGCCAGGCCTGGATAAATTTACATCTTGAAAAATGTGGATAGTCTTTACTATTTTAGTACCTAATCTCTAACACTAAATAGATTCAAATAAAAAACAATGCTTGTAGTTCTACACGTTTTAATTTTACATCTTGGCACTTTTGGGCTATGTTTCACCATTTTTGAAAATAAAGTTATAAGTGTAACCTCTGTGCTCTTGTTTCTTTATCTTTGAATTTTAAGGAGTCCTTGAGATATTGAGGCTTTGTGGAATAGTTTATCATATATCCTATCATTACAGAAGGAAATCAGTGGATAGGATTATGGATGTGCTTATGAGACAGCTTGTAGAAACAAAGAAGTGTTCTATTCTCATCAGATACAAACTTTGAGCCAGCATACCGTAGTCTGATATAAAATGCTAAGATGGCTTTAAAAGCTATATTCCATAACCACTGTAGTGGTTAAACAGATTGTTTTATGTATATTTGATATTTGAAAACATGGTTGTGATACTCAATATTTCCAAGTTATTTGAGTGTGGAAAACTTTTCTACTGTAAGCTCATGGAGCTTAGGAAAGGAAATAAGTAGATTGTCAGAGCTGTTCTTTTTAAAAATAAACCTTGTGTTTTAAAGGATATTCCACTTTAATCTATAAGCATTTGTTTAATTTAGTGTGGAAATATTTATCATGTGTGACTGTACTGTTTTAGGTGCTAACAGCATAGTGATAAAAGTGAAACAGTAATTTGTGTTCAAGGAGAGCAAGAGCTTTGAGTTTGTGTTTTGGAGTGAACCTTCAGTTTATAGATAAGCACACCCCACCTCTTCAGTTTATAGATAAGAAGTTACCCCACCTCTCAAGTTTACTTTAACCAAAGTCTCGTAATTCTGTGTCAGTAAGATTTAGAACCACAAAGAAGAGAAAGACTATTTTTTTGTTTCAAGGCTCTTGCAGTATAGATAGGAAGGAAGACATCACTATCAGAATTTTTAAAATTTATTAGTTTATATTACCTAACAACATTTAATGGTATTTTATATCATGGCTTAAGGAATAAAAAGTTGTTTGTTAAATATTGGGCAGAAAAGAGAAATGGTTAGAGCTTTGGCTTAGGAGGTTAAGATCATTCAGACAGGAAGAATATGGCCTGCAGGGAATGTAGAGTGATGGCTGCGTTTATTTTGGAACTTCAAATTATAGTGGTCAGACTAAATTGTTTGTAGGATGAGTCAGTTTTTCTCTTGTGCTTTTTTTTGCTTCAGTAGAGATAGGTAGAGATGTATTCACAAGTATTTTCTGAGAAATACAGTAATGGCAGTCCTTTTTCTTCTTTGATTTCAAGATTTACATGTTTGGCTTTGAATTTTTGTAACAGATATTAAGTCACTAGGAAATTTTTGTTTGGTTTAGGGCTTATTCACTCAAACCATTCATTTCAAGTCATAAAATGTGATTTAGTTATTTTAAGTATATAATACATTTAGTTCAGCATGCTAATTTTAGGCAGGAATGCTTTAAAGTTTGAGTTTCTTAGAAGCAAAACTTAAGAAATTATGAATGATAACACTCTGAAAAAATTGAATTTGTGTTGGTAGGTGTTGTCTACATCTACTGGCCTTACAAAAACGGTGTATAATCCAGCTGCTTTGAAGGCTGCACAGAAAACTTTACTAGTTTCTACCCCTGCAGTTGATAGTAATGAAGCACAGAAAAAGAAACAGGTAAGCATAAATAGCATGACATAAAATCTGCACTTAGGAAGACTCCTCCAGTCAGTGTGTGTATAAGGCACAAAGTGAGACTAGATAGATAGATCTGTGTGTAGAAATAAGTAGCCCCCCCCCCCCCCCAAGTAGCCCTTCCCTTTCCATTTACTGTAAAGGGAAGTTTCTTCTTTTTGATCTTTGACACTTGCATGCATTTTCTAAGCTTCACGGATAGAAACTTAGCTTTTGTTGCCACGCTTCTTCAACTAAAACTGCCTTTCTTGTATTGCTTTATCTATCTTTAGATATCGTTAGATATTGCTCAAATGATATTTTGATTCTTTTAGGAGGCACTGAAACTTCAGCAGGATGTAAGAAAAAGGAAGCAAGAAATTTTAGAAAAGCACATTGAAACACAGAAGGTAAAATAATAAAAGTATTTGGCAAAATACTGGCGTTCTTATTTCTATTGAATTTAATCTTTTTAATTCATAGTGAGAAGCAGATTTATTGTAATTGGTAGTCGTAAAAATAAAAACTTAGTGTATCATGTGTATTAATTTATTAGCATTGTAGTTGAAAAATTTATGAAGTATATGTATAGTTTATATGGAAATGGCTATCAATGCAAATTAAAAATAAGTTTATTTAGCTCTGTTACTATAGTCTGGTCAGTGAATAATGAAATGAAATCTTTTTACTATTATTGACATGCTTTTCACTAATTGGGATTCTCTACTCCGGGGTTATACAAGAGTAATCAAAAGCCACACCTGACTGATCCGTTTGCCCTGTGTCTAGTCAAAATTGTGAGGAAAATTATAATTATATGCCAGACTTTAAAGCTATTGTATGAAGAAAAACATCTTAGAAATTTTTTGTTGTTGAAATGTGCATTTTGGTACACTAGGCTAAATTAATTAATTTTGATGTGGGATTCTCCTCTGTATGTTGTGAATACTATCTAATAAAGAATCTGCTTTGGGCCTGTTGCAGCGCAGAATAGGGCAAGGTGGGAATTCCAAGCAGATAGAGGTGGAGAGAGTAGGCAGAGTCAAACAAGCCATGTAGCTGCCACAGGAGACAGATGCCGGACAGAAACTTATGGATAGGCCACAACTATGTGGCAATACATAGATTACTAGAAATGGGTTAATTTAAGATGTAAGAGTTAGCTAGAAATATGCATAGGCTAATAGGCCAAGCAGTGTTTTAATAAATATAGTTTCTGTGTTGTTATCTCAGATCTGGGCAGCCGGGAAATGAATGAACAGCTTCTGCCAACATAATCTTATTTTTCCTTTTTTATCTTTTTAATGTGATTGATAAAACAATCAAATTATTTGTGGACATGGAGAGATGGCTCAATGGTTAAGAGTATTTGATACTACTATTTCAGAGGACCCAAGTTTGGGTTTCTACACCAATATCAGGTGCTTCACAATTGCATGTAACCCTAACTGCAAGGTACCAGACCCTGTTTTCTGGCTTCCATGGCCATCTGCATGCACACGGCACAAGCACAAACACATCAATTATAAACTAAATCTTTAAAACTTACTTAATGTGGCTGGCATTTCTTGGCTGACATTTTTGGGGCAGATTGCTCTCTAATTTATGACATTTTAATTAGAAATTAGCTTTTTTTTTTTTTTTTTACGAGAGAGGGTTTCTCTGTGTAACAGTCCTAGCTGTTGTGGAACTAGCTCTTGTAGAGCAGGTTGGACTTGAACTCAGAGAGATCTGCCTGCCTCTGCCTACTGAGTGCTGGAATTAAAGGTGTGCACCACCATCATCTGGCTTAGAGATTAGTTTTGATATGTTTTATAATGTAGTAGAAATGTAAAAATTTAGAAAAAATGTTTTGTTGGAGTACAGTGGTGCATTAATACAATCTCAGCACCTGAGGAGACTAAGGCTGTCAAATTACTTAGTAATTTGTAGTGTAGGCTACATGTTAAGCTTGTTGAAAAACTTATATAAGATTATAAATATGGTCTTTTCTTATTTTGGATGTACTTCATTAAGGTGAAATCATAGTGCTTCATACAAAACTGAAGCTATCTTAACTCCGAGAACACAATTCCATGTGATATCTCCTATCTCACTTCTCCTGTTCAGATCTTATGTTCTAAGAGAGCAAATAATAGTAAAGTTCTTCCCAAAGTAAACTGGTTGTAATTATGCTGTTAGCTCCCAAGCCTGCTCTTCTATCTTTATATACTTAGATATGTCAGCTTTGTTGAGAACAATAAACTAAAAATAGCATTTGTTTTAATTGTTTTACTTTATTTGTTTTGTTATCAGTAGTAGGAGTAGGTCTCTTAAGATTTCTGTTTTAAAACTTGCCAGATGCTAATTTCAAAACTAGAGAAAAACAAAACAATGAAGTCTGAAGATAAAGCAGAAATAATGAAAACATTAGAGGTTTTGACAAAAAATATTACCAAGTTGAAAGATGAAGTCAAAGCTACATCTCCTGGACGCTGTCTTCCAAAAAGTATAAAAACGAAGACTCAGGTATTCTGTTTTGTTTTCCATATGACTGCTTATTAAGAATATCAAGTATGGGTCTGGCGAGATGGCCTAGTGGTTAAGTGCTCTTGTTGCTCTTTCAGAGGACCTAGGTTCAACTTACTTGGCAGCTAACAACTGTCTGTAACTCCAGTTCCAAAGGATCTCATGCCTTCTTTTGGCCCCCAAGTGCACTGAATGAACATAGTGCACAGATACATATGCAGGCGAAACATCCATATATAATAAATACAAATAAGTTTTTTAAAAAGAGCTTTAAAATAAAAATATCAAACATGATTTTTTAAAGGTTTTTTTTTTTTTTAGGATGTATCCTTTGCCCAGAATTGGATTAATCATAACTCTACTTCTTACAGTGTGAAACCTGCTATTATAAAATTATTATGGATAATTTTGGAAAGGTAGTTTGGGACAAACTGATATGGGTACTTGATTGTATGGTCAAGAAGTTTGAACTATGTATTGTTACTAGTTAGTAATATAAAAGGCTCATGATAGGAAGTAACCTATTATCACTGTCCAGAAGAATTTGCAAAGGGAAAAAATTCAGATGTATTACTCTGGATGATCTAAACAAATGAGCAAGATGTTTTTAGATGGCAACAAGTGATAAAATATAGGTGGTACAGTATTTATTCTTTGTGTGTGTATAAAGCCACACTGACATTTCTAATTTCAATCTAAATCACATCCTTACTCTTTTTTAAAAATTATGCTCTACTGTCAGTTTCCATAATGATGACTCGGTTTTATAACATCAGTTGATATTTATCGTTCAAGTTGACCTGCAATCCATTTTATTTATATTCTTTACAAACTAATTGTATTCCAATAAAGATTAGATCAGACGGGGCTGGAGAGATGGCTCGAGTTAAGAGCATTGCCTGTTCTTCCAAAGGTCCTGAGTTCAATTCCCAGCAACCACATGGTGGCTCACAACCATCTTTGCCCTCTTCTGGCCTGCAGGCATACACGCAGACAGAATATTGTTTACATAATAAATACATATTTTTTTAAAAAAAAGATTAGATCAGACTATGATGTTGCTTTACTTTGAGTCCTTTTTGTAAATACTCTTAATTAGATAAAGTTAGGTCTGTGCCTGTTTTCAGTTTTGAATTCTTTCTTCTGGCTCCAGTTTTTACTGGTTTAAAATTTTTTTAAAGTAACTAATAATAACATGGTTCAAAATACATAAAAAGATATACATAAGAGACTCCTTTCCCCAGCCCCTGATAACAGTATCCCTAACACAACTCCTATTGGTACCTTTTGTCATTACTTTGTGTATTTACCTATGTAAAGACATATATTGCTTGTTAGCCCTTTTCCTCCCAGAAGTTATTACATTATTAACTCATAGAAATCATACTCTGGCTGTGGTATAGACAATGAATTTTAGGGAAATCAATGAGAATAAGGATTAGGATACTTTTGCTAGAATGATATCACATGAAATAGGAATGTCAGTTTTCATAGTGACACATACATTTAATCTTGTCATTCATGAAGTCAACACAGGAGAATAACTAGCCCATGCCAAAAGAAAGGGGGAGAAAAGAAATATGAGCAAAAGGATCTTGTAAAATTCAGAATATTAATTGTTATTTGAAACAATAATAACTTTTTCAGATGCAGAAAGAATTGCTTGACACAGAATTGGATTTATATAAGAAGATGCAGGCTGGAGAAGAAGTCACAGAACTAAGGAGGAAGTATACAGAATTACAGTTGGAGGTATGTTTATCACAATCACACAGTTGACTTGGAAGAAGTGGTTACAGTTATGGTTAACATGAAAATGTGGGTTTGGGGTCTAGTTAACAATTGCTGACCACCGTGTATTTGTGGGGGGTGGATTTTTACAGAATGACTAGAGAAAATATTTAAAAAAAAACAAACTTTATTTTGCTTATTAATTTATTCATTTGCATAGGAATATGAGGGCCGTTTGTGGGGTGTGTTCTCTCCTTTTACCATGTGGCTCTTGAGCATTGACTGCAGTGTATTTACCCTCTGAGACATCTTACTGCTTACTGGTGTCCATTTATAGTTAATTTTATTTCTTCTTTGTTTTTGTTCTCTTTTTCTTCTTTGGATTAAATACAGTTAAAGGCTTTTCAGGTAATTGTATGAAAACAGTCTTTATATGTGTAAAGTTATGTAGGCATATTGTATTGTTGAGTGGCTAAAGAATAGACTCAGCTGTAAACCTTTTTAAACACATGCTTGTTTAAGTTTGGCCTATAGATGGTGCTGTGGCTGTTTTAAAAGAGAAGATAAGCTACATTATAATTCAGTTAATGGTTATATAAGAAACTCCTCATGCAATTGATCTCTTATTAAAAAACATGATGCTTAACATTTATTAAAATGTATAGAAATAAAATTATATAACAATAGGAAACTATATTAATGTCTGTTTACTGTTGCTTGATACAATCTAAGGTTTTTTATTTTTATATATTTTTTTAACATTTTAGATCATTTTGCTTAATTAAACTTTCCTTACAGAGTATGTTGACACTGATTTTTTCCCCCTCACCTTACAATGCAGTAGAAATCTGTTTAGTGCTGTATAAGTTTTAAAGATTTAACTTTTAGAACCTACTGGCCATGTCCTGGGCTAGGTCTTATCTGAAAGTTAGAGAAAGCTATGAAATTTTGTCCTAAACATGTATACACTTGCATTCCCTTGAAACATGATCTGGTTTGCCTACATATTCTACCCAAAACAATAGGTTTCTTCCATTAATTTTAAAATTATTTTCTCCTTATGAATATTTTGTACCATTAGTACCATTAGTATTGTAAAATTTCTGACATATGATTTTAGTAAGTAAATAACAATAGATAAAAATAACACAAAAATTTATTGTTCTGTGTTTTACTTGTTGTAATTCAGCCAAAGGTAAAATGGTATTTTCTGTTCTTTTATGGTGACTCAGCTTTGGTTTTCAATAATACTCATATATGCAGTAATGTAGTAGATTCCAGAATATAAACATTATAGTAATTCTGTTATCATTAATAGAGACTCGTTGGCACATATTCTATGATTAAGTATAATTTAAAAAGGTCATACTGAATATGCTGCTTGACTATAGGATTTTTTAGAGACCTTTAGATTGAATCTTCAAATTATAGGCTTGCTGTAGCTTAATTTTCAGGGATTATCTGTGTGTCATTAATATTCTGAAGGGCATACTTTTCATACGTTTAATTTTAATAACCTTGCCCCTTTAAACTATATTATTTTATTTCAGCATTTTTTAATTGACCAGTTAAGAGTTGTATATGTGTATGGTATGTAGCATGATGTTTTAGTATATGTATACATCATGAAATGAGTTATCAAAGTAATTCATACATATTCAAATTCTTATGAAAATATATCAAAAATTTCTTCCCTAGCTGTTCTCATATATCATCTACTATCATCAGTTGTACTCACTGTACTATACAACTGATGATAGAATTTATTCCATTGTACATTTTGACCAACATTTCCCTTATTTTCCACACCAACTCAACCCTTGGTAATAGCCATTCTTCTGTTTCTATGAGATTGCTGTTTCAGATTCTGTGTGTAAATGAAATCTTACAGTAGTTGTCTTATTTATTTCATTAAGCATTATTATTTGATTTTATGTGTTTATTTTTTGGTGCTCATAATTTGATGTTATTGCTTGGATGTCAAATAACCCTTATCAGCATGTTCATCATTGTTTATCTTGCTTACAAAGTTTGTATATATGGTTACTCAAATTAGAAATAAGGAGGGAGTCTTGATCACACCCTTTCTTTGTTCAGCCTCTATATATTCAGTTAATTACCAAATTTTAGGTGAGTTGCTCCTAAGTTTTATTTTATTCTTTTGAATGAGTGTTTGCTTGCATATATGTGTGTATATGTACCACATGTATGGATAATGACCATGGAAGTCAGAAAAGGATCTCTTGGAACTGTCAAGCACCGTGTGGGTGTTTGAAGTTGAACCTAAGTCTTGTATAAGAACCCATGTCAGTAATTTACCTGTCTAGAAATTGAGCTTGTGTATGTGATTTATGTGTATTTGTATTTATGTTGCATGTGTGCACAGGTGCTAATGCATGTGTGGAGGCTAGATGCCAAAAGTTAATGTTGAGTGTCTTACCCAAGCTTCACTGTTCATTCGTTGCTCAACGATATGACTGGCCAAGAGGGCCCAGGGGTCTGCCTATCTGTGTCTCTCTGATGATGAGATTACAGATGTACATTATGGTGTTGTCTTAATCAGGGTTTCTATTTTTGTGAAGAGATACCATGACCACTGCAACTTTTGCAAGGGAAAGGATTTAAATGGGGCTAGCTCACAGTTGAGGGATTTAGTTCATTGTTATTGTGGAAGGAAGCATAGGGACATAACAGGCAGACATGGTGCTGGAGGGGTAGCTGAGAGTTCTGCATCAGGATCAGCACACAGCAGGAAGACACAATGACATACTGGACCTGGCTTGAGCATTTTAGACCTCAAAGCCCACCCCCAATGACACATTTCCTCTAACAATCTACCCCTGCTCCAACAAGGCCCCACCTCCTAATAGTGCTGCTCCTTTGAACCTATGAGAGCAATTTTCTTTCAAACCACTACTGATGCCCTTGTTGTGTAGGGTGCTTACATGGTAAGCATTTTAATGACTGTGGCAACTGCACAGCCTGAAATTTTACTTAGGGTTAATGACTGCTAACATAGGTGTTGATGAAATATTGGTATAATCAGGGAATGGTGCTCCATGTGAAAGAAATGGTATGGTAGAATATTGATATTCTGTATTCTATGGTAAGAGCAAAATACTGCATTTGAGAAAACTTACTAGACCAGTTTAGTCAACAAAAATGAAATAGCATTCATTTAAAAATTATATAAAGCTTGAAGGGTTGGAGTATATTCAATGTAAAATGTGTTTATTATTTATGTAGGTCATGCTGTAGTCTGTATTAACTAGACTTTTGAAGGAACTAGGAGATCCAGAGTTACCAGTCTTCTTGTCCTGTGTCCTTGATGGCTTTGAGTATGAATTTAGTTTGGGAGGGAAGAAGAAGGATGAGGTGGCAAGATGGCTAAGTGTGTGAAATTGGCTAGCTGACAGGTTTGATGACTCGAATTAGTTCTCTGGGGACCTATTTGGTGGAAAGAGACTGAAAATAATGTAATAAAATTGTAAATGTTTTTAAATTTTTATATTTTAAATACTTTTAGAAAAAGCACATTCAGTAATTTTATATTTTTCATGTTTTGTAGTTATCTAAATACTTTCTCAGATTGTATAAGTATATGAATCATTTTTGAAATTGTAACACATGGCTTTAGTTAACACAGGTATAGTATTGAATTTACTTGTTATGTTCAACAAGTAAAGAAAATCAATGGAAATATTTTAAAATCTGAAAGCTCAGAAACACAGAGTTAGGCTTTTCAAATTAGAGGTCTAAGTGCCTACTTACTACATGTGTAACCTATGCACTTTTTCTTTTCTAGGCTGCTAAAAGAGGAATTCTTTCATCTGGCCGAGGTAGAGGAATTCATCCAAGAGGTCGCGGTGCAGCTCATGGCCGGGGCAGGGGCAGAGGTCGAGGAAGAGGTGTTCCTGGACATGCTGTGGTGGATCACCGGCCCAGAGCCTTGGAGATTTCCGCATTTACAGAGAGTGACAGAGAAGATCTTCTTCCTCACTTTGCGGTACTTTCTTAACCTCTAGCAAAAATAATACAAATAATTGTTTGTTGGGTTAGTAGATATAACTAAAGGAAAGGTTAGGAAAATGTATAGTAGTCTTTTTTGTTAGTTTTTATAAAACAGAAACAGGGTCTCTTTGATTATTTGTGAGAAATATTTTTTTTTTTTTTTCAAGACAGGGTTTCACTTTGTAGCCCTGGATGTCCTGAAACTCGCTTGTAGACCAGTCTGGCCTCAGATTCAGAGATTCTCCTGTCTCTACCTCTCAATTGCTGGGATTAAAGGTGTGGTTTACCACGAACCAGCTAAAATTTTATAATTCTCAAAACTAGATAGGCCTTTAAATACTATAAGGCTAATTATTTAAGCGTCATTGTTTCAGAGAGGGACCTTATGAGTAGGTTTATGTTGATAACTTAAAGAAAAATAGGCATGTTATCTAGACCATTTCGATTTTTAAATATGAAAATAAATTACAAGATTTTCATAGAGCCTAGTAAAATTGAAGGAAGATATACTTTTGATGTATAATCTAAAAGTTGTCTTACTTAGATCAAGGGTAAAATTTAAGAAAGTTTATCTAATGGTAGAGTGGCTAAGAGAAGGAGATTCCTTCCTGGGATTCATAGGCTAATGTGCAGAATGGAGACTATATCTACCTTACCCTTTCATTATAGTTATTTCAGTGTTTAGTGTTATCCAGAACATAAGTTACTAGACGTCAGTATTAACCTAGGTATTCTGGTAATTACATCAGAGAGAGGAAGAGCCATCAGTTCTTTACTTACAGAGCTTTTAAGATACATTGCTTTGACGCAGGTCAGTTGAACCAAACTTCATTTTAGTAAACACTTAAAGACCCCAATGACTAGTTTGACCCTGACGTGTGGTGAAAAGATTAGTGGAGGAAAGTTTAGCAATTAATAAAATTGAAACTGAGAACTAGAAGAATAGGTATTAGCTGTCTTCATCATTTAGAAATTTATATTTCGGTTTTTGGCATTCATATTTCAAGCTTTTAGTTAATATTTATCCAAATATAAGGAAGTTTTGAAAGAAATAATTGATGTTTATGAAGTAACTAAAGTGATTAATATTTAAGGCTGAGGAGTCTGGAGAGTCCTGTGCTTGTTGGATTCAGAAGCATAAAGACTGAGAACTAGAAATGTGCTTGGCGATGCAACTCAGCTCTTCCCTCCTCTGTGTCCCACTCTACAAAGGAAAGGAGATCCAGATAATCTACCTGTCTTGTATATAGTTATTGAGCTAATTAGGGGACTAGCAATCAATATGCTAAAATAATCGTTTGTTATAATCGTGTTTTGCTGAGACTAAGATGTTTGAGAAATAAATATTCAGAAACTTAAGAATAGAAATTGTTCCATAAACTTGGAGATTTTTAGCTCTAAGTTAGAAGTGGTTATTTGCTCATGAAGAATACTAGTGTTAAACAAGAGTACACATATCAAAGTTTAACTTTTTTATCTCTGAGCATAAGAGACAGGGTATAGAGATTAAGGACCGTTGACAGAAAAATTGCGTTTAACAAATGCTTTTTAAAATTTATTTAGTTAAACCAGTAACAATGGTAATAAAAACAGTTGAAATTTATTGGGGATATTAAGAATTACTTGAATGACCACTTGATTTAGTCAGGATTCTCTAGAGGAGTCTCATAAAGAGTGAGGGGGGATTTATTAGAATGACTTAAAGACTATGGTCCAGCTAGTCCAAGAGTGATTGTCTGTACCAATGGAAGTTCCAGGAATCTAGTAGTTGTCCAGTTCACAAGACTCACTGTCTCAGCTTCAGTATTACACCGAAATCCCCCCAAAATAGACCATTCTTGCCAGAGAAGGAATGGACTTGCTGTTGAGAGTGCTATCAGCAGGCAGAGAGAGCCAGCTTCCTTCTTCCATGTCCTTTATGTAGGCTGCCAGCCGAAGGTGTGATCCAAATTGAAGATGGATCTTTCTACATCATACTACCTGGATTAAAGGTGTATTTTCACACCTCAAAGATCCATAAATGGGTCTTCCCATTTCAAATAATTTAATTAAAAACAAAGCAAAACAACTCTCAAAGGTGTGCCCCATCTTTGGGTTTTAGTTAATTCCACATAGTCAAGTTGACACTAAGATTGGCTGCTATTTTGCCCATTTTTTTTTTAAGGTGAGGACATGAAACCTGAAGAGATTAAATAACTTGTACAAGTATAAATTAGTTCACAAAAATTTGTGTTTAATGAATTTATGGCTGTACTTTTATTTTGGAACAAAAGGAAAATATTAGTAATATACAAAGAACTAATCTTCAGGTAGTAAAATTGCTGTTTAGAAAAATCTTCCTTAATTTGGGGAAAATACAGCAAACTCCAATCAGGCATAGTATAATTGGGTTAGTATTTAAGTATTGTAAATTGTGTATGCCATAATAGGATGCATAGTAAGGGAACCCATGCTCAGTTAATGTTGAATTTACAATCAGAAGGCCTGGATCTTCATCTTGATAATTTGCTTGACTGCTTGGAAAAATTGCTTGAATTCTCTGAATCTTTCCTCCCTTTTACTGAAAATGATACTAGAATTTCCTAGTTTTGATTATTCAGTATACTGTTTAAGAACAAATTTACCTTGTCCTAGGTTGGCGTAATAAGGAAGGTTGGTAAGCAACCTCAGGCTTTGACCATTATTATTTTATCCATTATTTCTCAAATAGAGCATAATGTCACTAATTCTGGGAAGTATAGAATTAGAACTGAGATTGGAAGATGATAGGATTAGATGAAATTACTATTTGTCTTTTAAGCTGTATAAGTTATATATTTTGGGTTATGCTTATTACTTTTCTAATGCAGTTGGGGTTTTAGATATTTTAAAACATTTATTTTGAGGAAATAATTTGTTAATTTACAGCAATATGGGGAAATTGAGGATTGTCAGATTGACGACTCATCACTTCATGCGATAATTACATTCAAGACAAGAGCAGAAGCAGAAGCTGTAAGTGTTAAAATAATTAAAACTTCCAATTTAGATGATTATTATTTCCTTAAGTTTTAATATAAATTTCAAGTTTACTGATTAATTGTACTTTGACAGAAGGTAGACTATTTGAAGTGCAAGTTTGTGTTTATGAAAGAAATGTCTTTATTTTCTTAGGGAATCTGTATGTAACATTTTAATATAATAAATATAATGCTAATACAATATGATATTGAAGCATGAATAATAAAAACTCAGAGTCAGATATTGGGGTTTAACCTGAAGGTCAGAAAACTAAAACAGCCAGCTAGTGGCTCTTACCTCTACCTCAGTCTGAAATGACAATCCTGCCTCCAGAAATCTCAGAATGAGACTCTGTCTGAGAGCTCTCTCCTCCCATCTTAAAATCTTCTCTAGGGCTGGAATTAAAGGTGTGCACCCCTGAGATTAAAGGCGTGAACCTCCTGGTTTCTGTGGCAACTAGTGTGGCTACTGGGATTAAAGGTGTGTGTTACCACTGCCTGGTGGGTAAGGCTGACCTATGAGGCTGTTTTACTCTCTGATCTTCAGGCAAACTTTTTTTATTAAAATGCAAATGAAACGTTACTACATCATATAGCATGTATAAGTTAGACACCAAGTAGAATTTAATATTGCTTTAACTCGATATAAGCTCTTTTTATAGAAATTAGGGCCACTCTTTCCACTGTTTACTGTTTTATCTGGACATAGTCTGCATTAGTAGAATAATGGTAAGAGTTATCTAGGGTAGATGTAGAGAAAGTGTGATTTTTGCCTGCCCTTTTTATTTATCCTTCACCTATGAGTTCTGGGTCCCTGCAGGTTGAGTTCTACAGAAGCATCTCTTGTTTAGTCTATGCCTGAATAGGCTGCTGTTATTTGTCCAAGAGAAGATATGTCACTCTAGCTTTTAGAGTCCTTGTTATATAGTTATCTTAATCGATATACTTTGAATTGTCTGTTTTGTATTTTTGAAATGGGATCTTTATGGCAGTGTATCTCTGGTTATCATTGAGTGCACTATGTAGACCAGGCTAGCCTTGAACTCACAGAGATGTGCCTATCTCTGTGTCCCTAGTACTGGGATTAAAGGTACGCATCACCATGCCCCTGCCTTGCGCTTGAATTGTCTTTCAAAAGACAACCCAGAAATATCTTAAGTTTATGTGTGTGTGTGTGCGTGCATGTTTACATTGTGTAATTGCATGTTTGTGGGTGTGTGTGCATGTGTATCCATGTGCCTGTAGAGACCAGAGATTGATGTTCAATGTCTCTTTCTTAGTTACTCTCATTTTATATTGAGGTTGTGCCTCTTGATGAGCTCACCTTGATGTAAGGATCCCCTGAATTCTAGGATTACTTCTGGACTGTCATGCCTTCCTGGCACTTACTTGGCTAGTAGAGATCTGAATTCTTCTCATGCTTATGTGGGAAGTACTTAACCTTTTAATTACCCACCTTGGCTTGTAGAGCAAGTTCTGGGGTAGCCAGGGCTACAAAGAGGAACCCTGTTTTGAAAAAATCGAAAAAAAAAAAAACCAACACATTTTTTAAAAAAAAATTGTGATTGCTGGGTGGTGGTGGCGCATGCCTTTAATCCCAGCATTCAGGAGGCAGAGGCAGGCGGATCTCTCGGAGTTCGAGGCCAGCCTGGTCTTCAAGAGCTAGTTCCGGGACGGGCACCAAAGCTACAGAGAAACCCTGTCTCGAAAACCCCAAAAAAAAAAAAAAAAAAAGAGTAATTATTTAAAAACAATAGTTTATGTGTGTTAGGTAGAACTTTATTAAATTTTCTCTGAGAGGTTTTAGTTTTACATGAAGAATTTCCCTCTACATATTAATGATACTTGCTTCTACAAAACATGATGATAAAATTTCCATCTTTTTTAGTATTTTGAAATAATACTTTTTTTTACTAAAAAAATTTTTTTAAGAATTTTTTTTCCCTTTAATGGCTGGGCTTCATGACATGTAATCTCATTATTCAGGGTCGTCATAGTTAATTTGAAACTAGCCAGGACTGTATAACAGAACTGTCTCAAAGCAACAATAATAACAAAAAGCAAACCAAATGAAACCTTTCTGGATGAATCTTGATAACTTGGAGGATTTTGAAAATATAGTGGATTTTTAACTGTGTTTACACTGACATGGGACTATTTTCTATTCTTCTTGTTTTGTGCATTTTTATATATAGTCCTATTTCCATTAACATTACTGCACTGTAGTGCAAATTCTAATTGGTCTTAATAATAAAAACCCAGAGTCAGATATTAGGGGGTGAAAGCTGAAAGTTCAGAGAAAGCAGTCAGCACTAGTTATTACCTCCACAAAATCCTCAGACTGAATAGGGCATCCTCTCTCTCCAAGTCCTCAGACCAAATGCTTGAGCTCCTGTCTCTCTCCACCGTATATTTTTCTTTCCATCAAGCCATATCCCATATCTGTCTTCACCTCCCTGGTGTTGAGTTAAAGACTCCCAAGTCCTGGGATTAAACGTGTGAACCACCACCGCCTGGCTATGTTTTCTCTTTTAGGCAGATTAAATCGAGTCTAGTTTAGAGTGGCCTTGAATTCAGAGGGTCCACCTGTCTCGAGTGCTGGGATTAAAGGTGTATGCCACTACTGCTTGGCCTCTATGGCTGACTAGTAGTGACTTAGCTCCACACTGTGATCTTCAGGAAAACTTGTTAGAGCACAAACAAAATATCACCACACTACTTTCCTTAAGTGTCTTACAGAAAGTACATGTAAAAGTACTTGTGTGATATTTGTTAACATTTTTAGAAATATCTATGAAGTTCCTTCTTAAATTTCCGTGAGATGCTTGCAGAACTCTTGTTGTTCTTAGTATACTATATAAAAACAATACTAAAGCTCATTAGTATAAAAACATTAACTAACACCTGTTAAAGATCATGTGGTACTGTATTTGGCCACAAGTAGGAAAAACATCAATTAGTGACAAATATAAATGAACAAAGAACGGTATTTAATTTATAATAAGTTATGAATTAGAATAGATATAGAAAATAAGACAAAGTAGAATTCAGAAATAGATGTCCATGTATTATACATATTTATGGATTTTAAAGGCTCACAAAAGAGCTGTTTAAAAGTACCAAATAAAACATTTAGTAAATATATTTGGACAATATCTTGGGGAGGGGATGGACAAAAAACAAGACATTTTATTGCTTTTTATAGTTCAAGTTCAAACTGGAAAACAACAAAAATATTTGTTAGCTAAAGTCTATGGGAAATCTGAGGACAGCCTGACTTAAAACCCAGAGGATCCTGCCTCAAAAAAACCCAAAACAGGGCTGGAGAGATGTGTCAGCAGTTCAGAGAACCTTCTGCTATTCAGATGACCCACGGTTGATTCAAAGTACCATGGAACTGAATATATAATCACATGTAACTCCAGCTTCAGGGATTCTGACACTCTCTTCTGGCCTCTGGAGCACCTGCACACGCATAGCATACAGTTTTACACACACACACACACACACACACACACACACACACACCGACAAATCTACAGCCGTAGTACCTGTGGAGGTGATGTAATATAGTACTTGTGTGAAACACGAGGATCTAAGTCATCTCCAGCACTCCAAAAAGCTAGCCATGGAAAGTGTTAGTCTGTAATCTCAGCATTGGGGAGGTAGATACAGCTAGAAATTTGGGGCTTCCTAGCAAGCCAACTATTCTAGCCAGATTTATGTTTAATGGGAGATTTTGTCTCAAAAAAGTTAAGGTGGAGAGTAACTAAGGAAGACATCCTGTGTTACCTGCTGTTCTGTATACACATGCATATATATATATATATATATATATGCGCTCAGGCATTCAGACAAACATACATAAAAATTGTTTTTAAATTACCTTAATTTAGTGAGTGCTTTTTAAGTTATGACATATCTACAAAGGAAAAGTCTGATAAATTCTTTTACATAAAAATTTAAAACTTTCTGTTAAAATCAAAGAATAACTACTTCTTAAAAATATAATAAATTATCTTGCAAAATTACATTCCCATAATTATGATAAAATTCTTTTCTATTAGAAAAATCCAAGCAGGAGTCATTGTTTAAAAAGTTAATGAGGAGCTGGAAAGGTGACTTGGTGGTTAAACATGACTATTGCTGTTTGTAGAGGACCCCAGTTCAGTTTCTAGCATCAGGTGAAGTGTTAATCTAATTAATCCTTATCAATAAAAACCAGGAGTCAGATACCAGGGTACAAACCTGAAAGATCAGAGAAGCAGCAGAGTATTCACCAGTGACTTCTTACCTCTGCCTGGGGTTCCTCCCGAAGGGTCTTCTCTCTGCCCCAGCCTTATTGCTTCCTGTTTCCTCTCTATGGCTAAAACCAGTGGCTAGCTCCACCCTCTGATTCCAAGCAAGCTTTATATGTAAGAACACAAATAATATTACACATTTCTCCCTTTTTGTCTAAATAAAAAAAAACAATGGTTTTAGCTAATATAGTAAAACTATATACAGTAACTACATACAAATGTATACAGATAATAATTACATTAACAATGTCTAGTCCATTTGCAGTTGACAAATTCAGAGAAAATACTCCATTATCTGCCCTGCCTTGGTATGTTCAAGTGTTGTACTAATTCACTTTCTATTTTAACTTGTATTATCAACCCAAAACCACCTTTTTATGTCTCTAAACCTTACACACTTTCACCTATTTTGTGAATTACTTTTCTGGATAGTATCTGACAGCTCACAACACCTGTAACTCCAGCCCCTAGGGATCCTGTGTCCTCTTCTGACTTCCACTAGCACTGCCCTCTGTCCCAAATTATATAGTGGTGGCTATCTCTTAGCCTTATAGTCATGATAATTATGAATAATAATTTTTTATACTATATTACTTAAATTTGAATTTTAAAAAATATAAAATGAACCTGGGTGTAATGGTGTACTCCTTTAATCTCAGTACTAGGGACGCAGAGGAAGGCAGATCTGAGTGTATCGCCAGCCTGGTTCGCAGAGCAAGTTCTAGGACAGACAGGGTTATGCAGAGAAGCCCTGCCTTGGAAACCAACAAAACAGAAAAAATAAGTAAACAAATAGAAACCCTGTCTTGAAAAGTTAGATAGATAGGTAAATAGACAGACAGATAGATAAAATGGGTGAGTTACAGAAATAATTATGTTTTAAATTACCTGAATTACATTCTAATTTCTGAAAGGCTTATTATAAATAGATTTTACTATAATGAAAATAATCATGGAACTTAATGTTTCTTATAAGAAAAGCTTAGGTTTCTTGAATTAAATTTTCATCTTCAGGGAACAAAAATTCAAAGTTGTTTCACAGGTTTATATAGCCTAGATTGTTAAAAGTTTCTAAAGAACAAAATTCATTAAAATTGAAAACACCTAGTTTTTAAAAACCCCCCAGTATCCAAGAGCAACGGTAATAGTAGTATTTTGGAGACTACTTGGCCCTCCATCCAGTTTTTAAAAAATTAAAATGATATAAAGTTAAAAGTTCACCCTATGCCAGGCAGCGGTAGTGCATGCCTTTAATCCCAGCACTTGGGAAGCAGTGTCAGGCGATTCTCTGAAAGTTTGAGGCCAGCCTGGTCAAGTTCCAGTACAGCCAGGGCTATTATTACATAGAGAAACCCTGTCTTGGGAAAAACAAAAGTTTACCTTACAAATTTGAAATATGTGTTAACTATAGAAAAGGACAAAATTCATTTGTTATAAAAATTTGTCAGTAACCTGTTGTTGCAAGGTGTAGTATTGTACAACTGTATTGTACCTTAGTAGGAGACTCTGAAGCAGGAGGAGTGTGAGTTCAAGTCCAGGTAGAGATACACAGCAAAGACCTTTTCCCCCAGAAACAAAATAAACTGCTTACCTAAAATTTACTGTATAGGTTGCTGATCATAGTTTGTACTTTTTATATTTATGTTTTTGGCTAAATAGAAAAAAAATTTATAGGTATTTTGCATGTGCTGTTTATTATTCCTAAAAGTAATCTGATATACTTATGAAATGATTTCAGCTTCAGTTTTCAGTTTTTTTCTGAACTAAAACATCCATATGTATGTATGTATTTAAAATTTGTATGTTGGGCCATTAATACTACATACAACAGATTTTCAGGTGTTATTGTATATATAATTGTTTCTATGCTTCTTATTATTCTGTACTTTGAGTCTGTAGTATAAATCTTTTGTGACCATGAGTTACTTTAAAATGTTGCTAGCATTGATTTTTGTTCATTCTTGTTATTTTAAAAAATGGTGCTTCCATACCCGCTACTGACTATAGCACTAACCTTAGACCTGAACATTTTTTTCAGCTGTCATCACCATCATTTTCGAAATGTTTTCATAGGAAACTGCTTTTTTGTAGATAAGTTCAGAGCTGTGACCTTTCCCTTTTCTTAAGGTGTTTATAGTTCATGTTAGTTATGCATCGTTTTACAATGGTTTTGATCATTCATTTGTTAAAGGTTTCTAGTTAATAGTTACTATATGTATCAGATGTAAATTGACAGTTAATGAAGCAAAATTCATTTAGTATGTTGATCTTAAAATAGACGTTAGAAACTAGAGCTGAAATCTTGATGGATAATGGGATTGTTGTCTAAGTAGTAGTTGTCATTGGGCTGTAAGTTGGCAAACATACTTATTTTTACTAAAATTTGACCAAGAGTGAAATAGTACTTGCTTATGAGAATATTCTTCATTCCCATATTCTTACTTGTTTTAGGCTGCAATTCATGGAGCTCGTTTCAAAGGGCAGGATTTAAAACTGGCGTGGAATAAACCAATAACCAATATTTCAGCTGTGGAAACGGAAGAAGTTGAACCCGATGAAGAGGAAGTATGTTATTTTTTTTTTACTTGTTTTCCCATCATTATTCATAATTCTTTTATAAAAGGTATTTTTATGGCTGTGATTTTAACATAATACTTTTATTCCTAAGCCATATTCCAACCAGGAGAGATCAGATAAATTCAGACAACTTTATATTTTATGGATTAATGAGAAGAGTTGCTGATGGCTAACCTAAAAAGAATATGTGATATATCAGTTTTTAATTCCTCTAGAAGATAATAATTCTTCATTAGATTTTTGTTCACAGGAAATCTTATAATATGTTATGTTTTAGGGTATTTAATTTACTCAATTGCTGTATCAACATTTTAGCCTTTTTAAATTCATATTGCTTTAGTACATTAGAATGACTACCTGCTATGTGGTAGATTTTGTGATAGGCTCAAAAATGAATAAGACACGGTCCCTATCATCAAGGAGCTTATAATCTGGAAAAGCGGGTGGTGACAGAGACAGAAGGAACTAATTGCAATAGCAGGCATATTGATGTGCCAAATGCAGACTTGGACAACATGCTGGGGAAGCTCTCAGGAAAGACTAATTGTGTCTGTCCAGAACACTCTTAAAGGCTTATTGCTAATGGAGCCGAGTCCTGAATATAGTAGTATTCCGTAACTATGTGCTGCCACTGGGAATGTAGTTGAGGAAGGCATTTTCAGCAGAATTTGAGCTTCAGGATAAGAATGGGAGATTGCATTTTTCTCAGGTAACACCAGCTATTCAGTGGAATAAAGGTTTGGCAGGTAAGACAGTGAATGATAAAAGCCTTTAAGACAAAAGAATTTAAAATAAAGCAATTGTGTTTTGCTTAATCATGCAAAAAGCTATAGGAAAATTTTGAAGAAGTTAAAAAATAAAGGTAAGAAAGTAAAAGATTCTGTTTTATATTTGTTAGAGTTCCATAATGGTGCTTCACTTTGTTTGAAGAGCATTTCAAGTCTGTTATGCATATCCATAGTCAAATGCAAGAATAAATGTGTATTTGAAACTCATGTACATGATTTGTCATTTTATATTTTAGATTATACCTTTGTCCTTCCCTGAGTTTGAATTGAATGGGGAGAAAAGCAGGAGAGCTCCTGGTATTAGGTATTTTGAAGTTTGGGAAAGCAGTGTGAGAAGTTTTTATGGAGGGAATGGGGAAAAGAAAGAGGTGTTTGGTTTTCCTTAAAAATATTTTACAGATAGCAAAAAAACAAATTGAAGTTGTGGTAGAATTTTTATAAGTCATTGGTTGTTTGAGTGTTGAGAGTTAGGGTAAGTCAGTGAAAATTGATGTATTCCCATTTTAAAGAAGGATTGAGCAGTATTTTAAAGTACAGCAGATGGCATGATTTGTCAGAGTAGAAGTGGCATGTACAAAATTTTAACTTGATCTTTATTGCTTGCTTCATGTAAGCAGTAAAACATACTGTAGAGAGACTGAGTGGATAAGGACATGTTTTAGCTATAGAAATAACCGTTTGTATTCAACTCTTGAGCGAGAAAGTATTTAAAAGTGTTACTTTTTTTTTTCTTTCTTTCTTTTCCTTTTTTTTCTTTTCTTTTTTTTCTTTCTTTTTTTTTTTTTTTCTTTTTCTTTTTTTATTTTGGGTAAATTCCTAAATACATCTTAACCTAAAGTTTCAGGAAGAGTCTTTGGTGGATGACTCATTACTTCAAGATGATGATGAAGAAGAAGAGGACAATGAATCTCGTTCTTGGAGAAGATGATTTGACTGATCACTGATCTGCATATGCTAGGACTCTACCTGTGTTTCATTAGTATTATCTAATGTACTTTTACATGTTTGTAAAAACAATTTTTGGTAAAATATGATGAAGATGGATTTCACAAATAGATAAAAGAGAAGAAAACTACCTTCTGATCTTGTATTTTAAAAGATTGATGTTTGCATTTTATTTCAGTAAACAATTGCTAAAGACATCACAATAGAACATATGCAATGTTTTTATTACAGAATTCTTTGGGTTATTTGTAAATTAATGAATAGATCTGAATACTTATGACCCAGTTCTTGTCATAACATAGAGGATTTTGTTTTACTCCAAATAAGGAATGAGTTTGCATTTAAAACCTTAATGAATGTTTTCAAAAATGAATAGATGACATAGTACTCTAACTAATGTCTCCAAGTTATGTATTCATAATATTACATAGTAGTATGCTTAGGCTTTACTATGTATTAGCCGTTTGTTGGATTTGTGTATGTATTTTATCACATGGGTGTTAATGATAATGGTGTATGACTGCTTTACATGAGTCCTTATGCATCTGGATGCTAAAAATAAAGTGGAATGGTCTTTTAAAGAAAAAAGAAAAGAAAAAAAAAGCAATGAAAAAAATCCATGACAATGTTCCTTGATTTAAAAAAAAAGTTAAAAAAAAAGAAAAAAGAAAAAAAAAGAAAAAAAAAAGAGAAAATGAAACAGACCATTCCAGATGATGATCTGCCTTCCCCTGACTATCAAAAGGAGCTATAATCATTCAATAATAATGGGTACTGGTACCTTTATAATGATGTACAATCCAATGTCTAAAATTGATACCACTTCAGTTTGGTTTGATCATATACATTTTCAACAGATGTCTTAAAATTTAAAAGCAGGCTGATTAGTTTGGAACCAGACTTCAAGTAGCGCTAACATTTGGTGACTAAGACAACTTCATATTACATTTTGGATGTATGAAAGAGAACTTGACCATTTGAAGATGTATGAATAAAGAATGTACTATAGATACCACTTTAGGAAAACACTGTTTGGTAAGTGTTCCAGTCTGATATTTTAAGTGTGCATTTACTATACTTATATAAAAATCTTTCACATTTGCAACAATACTGTGATTTTTTTTTAAGTGGAATTCTCTGGCACGTAAATATAATTATTGAAAGTTAGTTAAACCATTTTCAGGAAATATATTCTTTGTAGAATGAGGGTAGGAGATTACTGTATATACTTTTTAAAGTCTTTATATTTATTTCAAGTATTTTTGCTTCTCAAGATTATGATTTTTTTTTAAACACCTCTTTAACAAAACTAAACTACTTTCTTCCACTTTGGGGCCAACACAATCAAAACCTAATCCCACCAGTACCAATCTTTTGCAGTAGTACAACTCAGATGGTGTTTTGTCTTTTTCCCTACTGGGCTTATAGTTGTATGTTTTTATGACAGTACTATTTTATAGGAATGTTTGACTTGCAGTTAGTACACATTTATATATAAAATTTCAAACTCAGATTCCATTTGCTACAATAATGACTCTAACGTTTGCTTAGACTGTGGTATATTTTTATGTAGTCTCTTGTGTGTTTACTTTGTGCTATTCTCATTCATTAGGTAAGTTTGTTTTCTTTTCTTTTTAGTAGTCGTGAAAGATGCCAAATTGGCAGAGGCTCACGTTTCTTCTCTTTACACCAAACAGGTATTATAAAGAAAGTAAATCTTTCCAAGGCCAGTTAAATCTCCATTCTATTTTTGGCTTTATGATTTGATTATAGTTTCAAATTTTATTGTAAATTTCCCTAGAAATGTCACTGAAATTCCAGTTTTCTTTTAAGCTCAGAAATAGCTCATCAACTTCCCTAGCCTGAAATTGCCTAATAACTTAATTTTAAGGCATGGTGCTTTGGATGAATCAGAAGACCAACTGTGGCTCGTTATCATTCCCTAGCATGAGGGTTACATATTCACAGTATTCATTAGATTTATAGTTGTACTTTTATAAGAATTAGTCTGGCTTTTATTATAAATAATATTTACTGATGCATTGCTACTAGGTTTTTAATTCATGAATATGTTTATAAATACTAGTACTCTCTGTCCACATTTATATTTTTTATTTAAAACCTAAGATACCTCTTTTAAGTAGATGGTAGTTCTCATTTTACTAATAAGAAAACACGCTGCTAGAAATGGAGTGGCTTACCTAAAGTCCTGTGAGCCAGTGGGAGAACTAGATAAGCTTTGTGATTTCGTTACCAACTTTACAGAACAAGAAAAAACTATAGAACTCCGCTGCTGTCTTTTCCCTTCTTACTGATCGACCATGAGATTGTGTTTATAGTAACCATGATAGTCTTTACCTCAGAATACTACACAGAATTAGTAGACTCTTTGGTCATTAGACAGTTCATATGTTTACCCTTTTAAAAAGTGCTTTGTTCCTATCTCTGTTATAATATTTAATGTTGTAACATAATTTATCTGGTTTATATGTTTGTCTTCCCCCACTAGATTGATTGCAAGCTCCTCTAGGAAGGGGACCATGTCTTATTCATCTTTTTATCTCTAGTGCTTATAGTAAAGCCTGGCTCATGTGAGCACTTAGATGTTTGTTGGATGAAATAATGAATGGATGCATATTTAAATTTATAGTAATGAGGTTGACAATTACCTCCCTTGTTAATTCTTATCAATTTTCTAAAATCTCTCTGGATAGCCTCCTCAGTCACTGGGGCCATTTTACAAAGTGATAGAGCTATGTGTCTCATCACAGGGGTTAAAAGTAGTGATTGAGGTAAACACTTAGAACCAATTGTGACATGTCCCCAGTTAAGGCATCTAGATGGTGTAATATTAAAGACTGTAGTCATTTCTAGGGGTTAATTTATCTTTGGGTTTTTTATTAAAATGTGTGGTTAGAAATGCTGAAAGCCACCAATCTAGACCATCTCACTAAATTTCTCTTGGTCCATAGATGACCTAGTTTAGAGAACTGAACAAGTATCAAGAGATTCATTTTTTGTTCTCAACTGTTGTAGGTAACTCTGTGGCCAGGTCTCTTGCCTTTCCCAGAGTTTGTTCCTTATATATAAAATGAAAAGGGTTGGACTAAATTATCTCTAATGTCTCTTTTATCTCTCCACTGTCCCTGATGATACATTAGTGTTCAAAATACGTCTATCTGTAAGCCAGTTATTCCTACCTGACATTCTTTTTCTCATCAGTGAAAACCACTTAGCTTTGATTCTAATAATTTACATATACCTCTTGCTAAAGTTTTGTATGTATGTTTCCAAATGCTTGCATTTGCCAACACAAGTTTGCCATTTAGCCTATAAAGTACAAGTAAACGTCTGTCTTTACAAGTTCTACTCATTCCCACTTAAAACTTTACTCTTTGGTTCTAAACTTGGTTTAAAAATAAAACTATTTGCCTATTATACCAGTTTTCAACAAATGCAGATTTATATCTTTTTCATCTCCATTTTTCCTTCTACAATATGTCACCTAAAAGGAGAAACCTTTTTAATTCTACAGCTCTCCTGATAAGTTTGCTGCTTTGTTGTACGCATCTGGTTATCTGTCTGTGCAGGTAGAATTGGGAGTGGGGAAAAGATTAGAGACAAGGTAGGCAACTATAGGGAAAATTATGTATTTCTGGTTAAAAGATTGATTAGGATTACTTCAAGGGATGGTTGTCACTTTGAATATTTTTAATCTCTAAACAATGTTTTATATGTTATTAGAAAATTGTAATTTTATTTTTTAACAAGTAACGGATGCCCCGACACTTAATGAAAACATGTTGCAAGAAATGGAAGACTATTCCATAGGTTCTGTTCTATTGTTATAAGATCAAATGTAACAAACCAGTAGTTTACTATGAAGAAAAGATACTACTATTTTAGCTGATTACGTATAGCAAGTATGGCTAAGTCTCATTGAAGAAGGTATTTTGTAACCAGGACTGTTTTCTGGGGAGAGGGAAGAGGGGCTGTATTCAAATTTTACTTGCAACACTGACCATTGGGTGTAATGGCTCAAAAAGAAATCAAACGTTTGCTTATTGGATTTGTTGAAATATCAGTGACTGTCTCAGAGTACTGTGCAGGTCTTATCAAAATATGTTTTCTCCCCTCCTACAATGAATATAGGCTAATTACAGAAAACTAGTCTTAGTTCTAGCATTTGTATAAATATCTGTAGCCCTATCCCCCTTAAAATCTCAATAGGCCTTCAAAACAAGGTTGTCCTAAAAGAAGTTTTGTATTACTCACTCTGGGTTTTTTCTTAGGACTTTTTTTTTTCTTCTAAAATTCTATGAACTAAAATTGGACACTTAATAACAGATTTTAAGCCACAAGTATAAAATATTTATAAACCAAAAAGAATACACCCTTCTTTTACATTAGATATAAGGAGCTCACTGTTGTCAGTTCTCTGAACTAAAAACGGCTGCTCCACCGTGTGCATGTGTTGCTTTAAAACAGAGTGGTATTATTATTTTTTGTCTCTTTATCACTCAGAATTGTAATCTTGTAAATAGCTACCCAGTTCTATGAAAGGAAAAAAAAATACTGGCCATGATTGCCATTATCAGTAATTTCTAATGAAAGCAGATATGCTTAGTAAAAAGCATCTAACTTGATAAAGTTTATTAGTACTCTGTGTTCATTACTTAAGTGAGAACATTTTAAAGCTTTTTTGTATCAACTTTTTATATTTGATCTCATGTATTATATATCTTCTTATATTTGATCTAAACCTCCCCTCTATTTCTTTATTTCATCCACTCATCCCAGGTACTGTCTCACTATGTGTTCCTTTTAAATTTTTGTTATTGCACTTGGTGCTTGGTTTAGAATTTTGTGTCATATAGGATAATTAAAGAAATGATAAGTGTATGGAGCTTAAGGAAATAAGGTATCCTTATGATTATTTTTGAAAATCCTTGGGAAACTGTAAGAAATTTGTTTTTGTTTTTGGTTTATTTACAGTGACTTGAGGCTTGTACGTGATTTTTAAAAATCTCTTTGCCTGCTCACAGCTCTGTGTAAAAATACCACCTGACCTTAGTAGATGTTCTAGCCCCCTCCCCCAGTTTCCATGACAGCTGTTTTGTAGTGCTGTGATATTGACACCTAATATTTTTAGAAAGCATAATATCAAGAGATTTTGTTAAAAAATCACTTAAGTCAAAGGTAATCTTGGATACAATTTGTAACTTTTGATCCTTCTCAAGTAGACTTTTAAAAATGTCTTAGTAAGTTAGAGTTAGTTCATACTGCAATTCAATTTTGGAGTTTTTCTGTTATTTATTTCTTTATTTTTTAATAAGTGTTCTCTTTTTCCAGCAGAGAGAGAACATCACTGCCTGACTTTAGCTTTGTGACGACATGAGCAAGCCCTGTCCTGTCCCGTCCTGTTGGAGATGACTGTTCATACCATCGTCATGTCATTTGGGTTTGCCCTTTCCAATCTGAATAGATGTTTATGTTTACATGTACTGTGATGACCACTTTACCTTTACAGTTCTGTACGAGCACATCTCGGTCCAGAGGTGTATCAAATATGTGATATTTCTGACTTTATTCATAAATGTTTTCTTTCCTTATTTTATAGCAGCTTAATTTGTAAAAGACCTTAGGAAGGAACGAGGCCTTTTAGTTTCCTTATGAAATATAGTACATCTCAGCCAAACTGAGAATTGTGTCTGGTAAATATAAAGCCATGAAAGCATTAACTGAACAGTTTAGAATGAAGAAAATGAATTAAAATGTTAAACATAAGTTTGGCTTTAATTTTTCTTATTTTTGAGATGTATTTATTGAATTAGAATTGCCACTAAAATAATTTTGAGACAACTATAAAGTACTTTTTACACATTGTAATTAATTTGTTATTGTGAGTGTATAAATTGATGTGATTGCTAGGACCACTTACTTCAGTGAACTTTTGTTGTTGTTCTATTCTTCAAAAACAAGGAAAATAATTTTATTTCTTTTCAAGTAATAAATAATGACCTATGTGTTTTAAAATTATATATCTACTAAATTTGTCTAATTTATACAATTTTCATCACTTATAATCAAGACATCAAAGACAATCTTACAAGCAAGGGGAAATAGTGTTGTATTTATTTTTAATGGCTAGTTTTCAGCTGCTTTAAAAGTGTATGTACTAATAATAAGCACTATAGCTTAAACTTAGAAAGTTCTCATCATAAATATTAACAAAACCCTTTTTATAGCACACCAGTTTTTTTTTTACTAATTGATTTGAGTATTCATTATAAGATCCTTAGAGGTATTTGAGAAATCTAGTATCATAGCTACTCTTCAGAAAAACCAAATTATATTGATTCTGATTTTTTTTTAAGTTCTATTCAGTCATACTTTATTATACAAAGCTGATACCCTACAAACACTTTTTCCCTCTTGAGTATGTATTGTGATTGTCTTCATGAATAATAAAATGTAACAAACTCATTAGTCATGTTATAAATTGTCTGTCTTGATCCACATTGATTATACATGCATGGTTAAAGGTAAAGCATGTATTTTAGGTAATTATTACATAATAGCCTACAAGGCATTTTTTTCGTTACCCCTCCCCCCCCCACACTTTTTTTTTGTTACCCTTTTTCACAAATTATTAGATAGCCATGGGGAATTCATACCAGAATAATTGACATTTTTTATTTTCAAAGAAGTCTTTATAGTGGTAGTATTGTGGTTGCTTAAGTTAGAGCCAAAGAACATGGTCCGAACAGACTATACCTGCCAGTAACTCTTGATGGTTTCATTAGTGAGTGCTACATACTGTCACCTTAAATTTATTTTGTTATTACTTTTTCTTTTTGCTATTGAATCAACAAGCAAAACAAAGTGGAATGTGCCCTTGGGAATGAAAAGTCAAGTTGACATCTCCTTAAGATCAGTGATTTTTTTTTCTTTTTTCTTTTTTTTGAAAATTGTTGTGAGAGTCAGTTGGTCAGTTATACTTAAATCCTTAAACATTAGTTACTAGAGATTCGCTTTTAACATTTTTTTTTGAATAAATTCGTCATGGAGTGATGTGTACATAACTGTATAGAATCATTTTTTTGTGTAGTTGAATGGAGCAGTTTACCTCTGCATGACTGCATTATGGAAGCCTTTTATATATCTTTATATTTTTCAATATACTTAGATTTTACACTATTGTCGCTCTAGTCATGCTATATTTGTTTTTTTAATAGAATTTATAAATATTTATGCTCAAAATCCAGATCAATTCAATATTTTTGGTCTTGTTTACAAGATAATACTTTAAAGTGATACAGTCCCCTCAAGTGTCTTAGGAAACAGTCATTGGTGCTATAAAACCTTTCCGTGTCATTGAATCTGTTGTCTAGTCTTTGCTAGGCTTTACTGTATTATCGCTTACAATAATCCTGCTAGCTGCAAAACTATAAAATGGTATGTGTTAAGTCGGGTAAGAGTCCAGCCCCATTAGAGAACACCTAATAATTTAAGAAAATGATGCAGAATGACTGTGCCCTTATTTTTGCCCAGCTTCTCCCAAAAGAAAATAGTTTATTTTGATAAGACGAAGGCTATTAATTTGATTAGAATTTTAAGGTGATATATTCAAGCATGGCTTTCCCCTCATTTGAAATGGAAAACTTTTATAGTCATAAAATAATTATGTCATTATACTCTGCTTTAAACTCTCGTCTGTCCTTTGCTCAGCGGAAGGCAGCGTGTTTCCTACAGACACTTACAGAGTATGTGATGAGTTACTACATTGTAAAAGTTTTCCCTTGATGTGCATTTTCCGTTTTGCCCCCAAGACTTTATTCTAGCACCTTAGTGAGTGTTCCTGAGACACAGTGATGTATCAGCAGAGCACTCCGACATGTTTACTTCTGATTCTCAGAATCCCAACTCTGACCATACTTCTTCTGCACATGCTGTCTGGCACAAGACTGCCTTTAATAAGTGATTTGTTTTAACTCAGTTTCTATGGACTGTTGTTGAATCTGAAAACACCAAAGGAGTCTTTTTCTTGTCTGAAGACTGGGTTGTTCCAGTGGTTAGTACCTGTGCCCATAATTATCCCATTTCATGAATGCGTGTTGGCATGGGGGAAATTCCCTGCTCTTTGAGTGGAGCAAAAGTAATTGGTTAAGCTGTAGCAGCTTCCTTGTCTATTTTTAAAAGTGATGATAAAACTTGAACTGAAAAGGTAAAACTTGAACTTGAAAATTACTCTTGTATGCACAGAATGTTTATAGTGACTGTGTTTATGTGGGTTGTCAACACTTCTATTATTTATAGTTGAATTATGTTTTGTTTATTAAATATCCATGTTTATTATTTTTATATTTTGAAAATTTTAAAAATAAAATAGTCTTAATAAAAACAGTTGTTAATGTTTTAAAATTATCCTACATCTTGTAACAGTTATATTTATATAAATAAGATATTTATCCACCATGCATACACAGTTGAGACTTGTGAAACTGTTAGTGAAGAAGCAACCACGTTTCTTCTTTCGCTGTCTACCCTCTGTTCTCACTTGAAGTTAAGGTCAGCCATGATTCAAGTGTGTTATTAGCCCCAGTGCCTCTTCCCATACATGCACAACCCTTAATTACCATTTGTCCTTAGTTTCTGCTTCTCTACTGCTGAATTTCCTCTTCCATTTGGTGGCCAAAAAGGTCTTCCTATGTTGAATGATGAATACAAAAATACTGCACTCATGACTAAGAGTGGCTGCTATGGAGTCTGAAAGTGAAATTGTGTATAAAATGCTTACAGTGGTGATCCGTAGACTCATAAAAATGTTTTCACAAGTTCCCCTTGTAACCTGATGGTGATATAGACCCCTTTCCTCACCTGGTCAGACTTGGCTTTCTTTTCTCATGTTCAGCATGTTTCTTTCATAGTTAATGTTATTACAAATATTACATATTCTTTTGTGTGTCATTGTAGGAATACATCTCACAGGCATAAAAAGCTTGATGGTAGTCAGTCTACTTGTGACAGTCTGGGGATTAAAAATACATCTTTAAAGGATGTAAATCTTGATTTATGTGTGTGTGTGTGTTTAGTTTTTAAACAGTAAAATTTCTTAATAAAAATGGTGCTTGGTGAAATTATTAAAATTTATATTTACTTAGAAGTAAACACTCACATACGTACACATTCACACAAATACACAGCCACCTGTTGGTGTTTAGATTATGTTGTCAGTTTCTTCTTTACCCAAAAGTGTTTCTTCAGAAGAATGATTTTTTTTCTTTTTTAGTCTTTTTTTAATTACATAGAGTTGTGTATTTTAAGGAAACTTGAATTTTTTCTTTTAGTTTTTCACTCTATTCTCATACAATATATCCGATTGCAGTTTCCCCTTCCTCTCCTCCCTTTCCTTCCGCCTCCCTTCTTCCCCAGATTCACTGCTCCTCCATTTCCCTTTAGAAAAGAGGACTTCCAGTGATAGCTGACCACAGCATGACAATAAGACTAGGCACATACCCTCATATAGTCTGAATGAGGTAATCCAGTAGCAGGAAAAAGGTCCTAAGAATAGGCAAAAAGTTGGAGACACCCCCATTCCCACTTTTAGGAGTCCCACAAAAACTCCAAGCTAAACAACCACAGCATGTATACAGAGGGCCTCCTGCAGACCAGTGCACAGGCTCTGTGATTGGTGCCAAAACTAGAAATTTTTATATTGGACTATATAATTTATACTTTTTATAAATTTATGCTTTTTTATATCTACCTGATGGCAAAGTTTTTATTTAACTAGAAATAGGAAAACTTGGGTATAATTTAGTATGACTGTGGTTTAAATAACTCATTGCAGAGTTTTACACTTGAGGTTACTGATTCACTGAATGCCTAAAATGTACATTATTGAGTTAATGTAATATGTCTTTTATTCAGAGCTCTGAAAATCATGATTCTTAGCAGTTTGGGTAGGATAGAGGCATGGTCACATGGTATCCCAGGCTAATCTCAAACTTGCTGTGTTCTCTTTGGGAGACAAGATGCTGGACATATATGAGACCTCAAAGCCATCCTCCACAGTGGCACACTTCCTCCAGTGAGGCTGAACCTGCTCCAACGAAGCCACAACTCCTAATAGTGCCACTCCCTTTGGGGTCTATTTCCTTTTAAACCATCACAGGCAGCATACACAGTGCCTGCACAGGTACAAACCAGATGGTGCCAGCAATGAGAGGGGGGAGTAGACAGATTGTATTCTTGACCAAGAAGCTGTCTGCAATTGACACCCACCCTCCTAGATATGTCAACTTACATATGCTGGAGTCATTTAGGAGGAAGGAGCCTTAATTAAGAAAATGCCCCCATAAGATGGAGTGTTGTTTGAAAGTTTGTAAGGCACTTTCTTAGTTACTGTTGAGTGAAGACCCACCTATTGTGGGTGGCGCCATCTCTGAGCTTGTGATCCTGGATTCTATGAGAAAGCAGATCAGTTAGCAGGATCACTTCCTCCCCTGCATGGTATCTAATCAGCTTCTGCCTCCAGGTTCCTGCCTTGTTTTATTTCCTGTCCAGACTTCTTTCCATGATGAACAGCCATATCGAAGTGTGAGCCAATAAATCCTTTCCTCCCCAACTTGCTTTTGGTCATTGTGTTTCAGTCATAGCAGTAGTAAACCTAAGACACCTGCTTGCAGAGGAAAAATTAACATTCTTCACCGGAGTCTCATTAGCTACTCATAAGGGTAGGACTCATGCCCAGTAGCAAATGGCCAAAAATGAACTCAACGATGCTTTTGTAGACTTTGTCTCATATCACTCTGGACATTTTGCCTTACTGGTCTTCGGTTTGTATTATGGTTTCTGACTCTGTGTTTCTGTAGGACTGTGTGTGTGTGTTTCTGCTTATTGGGCTTGGTTATTGTTTGATTTTTGAAGTGAGAGGAAGAAAGGGGTGAGTGGGTGGGAATGATCTGGAAGGACTGCAGAGGGGAAATCTTTTAATGAAAAATTAGGTTCTTTGACAATTTCATGTATGTGTAACATGCATTGTGGTTATTATAAGCTCCCTTCTCTAATCTCATCTCTGTTGATCTCCCTCAAAGTTCTTCCCACATTCATGTGATACATTTACACAATGGAGTACTACACAGCAGAAAAAAATGACATCTTGAAATTTGCAGGCAAATTAATAGGTCTAGAAAACATCATATTGAGTGTGGTAACCCAGACCCAGAAAGACAAATATCATGTGTACTCACTCCTAAGTAGCTTTTAGACATAAAGCAAAGAAAATCAGCTTATAATTCACAATCCCAACGTAGATAACAATGAGGATCCTAAGAGAGACCTACATGGAAATCAGTTGTCAAGGCAGTGTAGGAATTTTCAGACACTAGATCTTGTTACAGAAGAAAAGCTGGGGAGCTTGTCCAGAGTCTGAGAGACAGTTGGTACCAGCATTTGGAACCTCACTTTGAAACACATGCCTGAGAGGCACATCTCCAAGGCTACTGTCATAAGACAACTGCCAGCACACATGCAAGACACAGTGATACAGATGGACACATGGAGCCCAAGTGTTAATCAGACATCAGTGACAACTATTTTTTTCACAAGGTCAGCTTTTTTTTCCTCCAAAGCTATCATTGCTATTTTCTAATAGTTTATTTCATTTCTTTTTTTCATATGATATCTGTGTAGTTTTGTGTCCGAGATTTTTCTCTTGTCCTTTTTTGTCTGTTTGCAGGCAGTGGGGTTGTTTTTCCTTACTTTCTGTCTTATTTGCCTTTTTATTTCTGATAATGAGGTATCCTGGGTGTTAATTCTTAGAAAGTATTTTTCTGTTTCTCTTCTCAAAGCAAAGGAGGTTAAAGAATATGATATTTTATTTTGACCCCTTGTGGGTTTTTTTTCACATCCCCTGTTGACTGACTTGGAAGAAACACGTCTATTCCTCTTGAGAATTTAAGCTTGTACTGAAGCAGAAAACAGTAGCTTATGATTACTTTTAGGTAACCTCATTTTCTTTGGTATACATTCTTTGACATGTGTACATTTTTGCATGGTAAGATAGGAGTCTATAGGAATTGAACAGATTGAAATACTACTACAGCTTTTCTGAGCTCCCAGTTCCTCTTTGTACTAGGAATCAGTGTTTGCTCAGTGAAAAGTAAAAATTTAATAAAATATTCTTTCCATAGCAATGGATAAAACACACTTTACAAGACTGACTTATTTTACTTTTATACCCTTTTTCTCAGCTGTATCTTAGACATGTTAAGAAACTAAGATGCAAATGATTATACTAATCAGTTTATTTGATTTCTTTTGTCTTTCACTATTTTTTAATTTATTTACTTATTAAAGATTTCTGTCTCTTCCCTGCCACCGCCTCCCATTTCTTTCCCCCTCCCCTAATTAAGTCCCCCTCCCTCATCAGCTCAATGAGCAATCAGGGTTCCCTGCCCTGTGGGAAGTCCAAGGACCACCCACCTCCATCCAGGTCTAGTAAGGTGAGCATCCAAACTGCCTAGGCTCCCACAAAACCAATACGTGCAGTAGGATCAAAAACCCATTGCCATTGTTCTTGAGGTCTCAGTAGTCCTCATTGTCCGCTATGTTCAGCGAGACCGGTTTTAACCCAGGCTTTTTCAGACCCAGGCCAGCTGGCCTTGGTGAGTTCCCAATAGAACATCCCCATTGTCTCAGTGTGTGGGTGCACCCCTCGCGGTCCTGAGTTCCTTGCTCGTGCTCTCTCTCCTGCTCCTGATTTGGACCTTGAGATTTCTGTCCGGTGCTCCAATGTGGGTCTCTGTCTCTGTCTCCTTTCATCACCTGATGAAGGTTAATATTCCGGAGGATGCCTATATGTTTTTCTTTGGGTTCTCCTTATTTAGCTTCTCTAAGAACCCGAATTATAGGCTCAATGTCCTTTATTTATGGCTAGAAACCAAATATGAGTGAGTACATCCCATGTTCCTCTTTTTGAGTCTGGCTTACTTCACTTAGGATAGTGGTTTCTATTTCCATCCATTTGTATGCAAAATTCAAGAAGTCCTTGTTTTTTACTGCTGAGTAGTACTCTATTATGTCTTTCACTATTTTTAAAAGATTTCTTTTTATCTTATGCATATGAATGTTTTATCTGAATGTATGCAAGTGTATCAGATGCATCCATGCCGGTTCCTGTGGTGATCAAAAGGGCTTTGGATCCTTTAGAGTTACAGGCTGTTGTATGAACCTCCATGTGGGTGATAAGAACTGAACATGGGTCCTCTGTAAGAAGAGCAAATACCCGTAACTACTGAGCATTCTCTTCAGTCCATACTTTACTGTTTTTAATAGTATGCTTTCAGAAAGTACTGAATATATAAAACTACACAGATATACTATATAGTTAAATAGCATACACTCACATATATTGATATCTG